TCACTTACTCACTCACTGATTTGACTAAGGGACGATTCCTTAAATGGCCTTATTTTAACAGGGTATGAAAATATCTCACTCCCACTCGGATCAACTCGGGTTTTCCCGTTACCCACGTAATTCTCCGAGCACTAATGGCGTAGTGATACACATTTTCACTGTAAACCGTGTAACGTCACATGCTGCCGCATAATCTCAAGTTCGTGTACACATTTTGCTGTTTTAAAATACTGTAAATTGAAAAATAAATGCTCGATGACTAGAGGACAAAAATAAACCAAACAGTTTTAACTGTGACTTGGTTGATTCATATGATGCACGAGATTTCATGCGAGGATTTTCGTCAGTACTCGTCTAAGTCCGTCTGATTTGAGATCAGCCCAGTGTCTTCTTAAAAAGTCCCTTTCAATCACTTGATGCAAAATTGCGTAAATACTAATTTTGTGTATGACGCATACAATGTACACGTGAACGACAAACAGATGAATAGAGAATACTACACGATGTCACGAGTTTCATAAATATGGTATTACACGGGACATCGTCTAGTATTTTATTTATTACGCACCCAACATTAGTAAAATATTATCTCAGAATTCAATTTTTATTTTATGATTCTCAACAATAGTCTATTTAATTTGATTTCTGTAAAAATAAGCAAGGGGATATGAAAAGGGACTTCAACCAAGACATTATTTTTTATATATAAATGCTATTACGCGCAGCCGAGCAAAGAACAGCTGAAACTTCTTTCCAAAGAATTCAACGAGTGCATTCGCCCGTACAAATGCGAGCACGACCGAGTACAAATAGTTCCGACAGCACGCGATGTTATTACACAATATAGTGAGAGTGTGAATTCACATCTGCTATATGTCAGCCATATCGCGACGAGACCAAGTCTACATCCATACACATTTTAAGTACTAATGGGTTTCTCGAAAAATACATATTCATTACATTATTATTTCCAAACAGAATATGCCATAGCATATAGCCATAGACTATGCCATAGCACATTCCATCTGTATCGTGTTCACCATATCATACCGACAGCAGTTTGGATAACCTATAAAGCTTATTATATCCAGCAGATGTCAATATCACTTGTCGACTTGATAAACCCCTAATTAATATTTATATAAATGCTATCGCGTTAATATATATATCAAACTATTGCGCTATGACTATCTTTCACAAACAGGTGGCCAAGCGATTAAAGCGTTCATGTCCGACTGAGGTTTCGAAGTCGATTCGAAGGGGCGTTTAGCATGGCGCTCGTTTAGTGAGTGAGTTTAGTTTTATGCCGCTTTATTCCAACAATATCACGGCATGGGACACGAGAAATGGGCTTCAAGTATTGTGAGTGAGTGAGTTTGGTTTTACGCCTCTTTAGCTGTATTCCAGCTATCTCACGGCGGTGGACACCAGAAATGGGCTTCACACATTGTACCCATGTGGGGAATCGAACCCGGGTCATTGGCATGACGAGTGAACGCTTTAACCACTGAGCTACCCCACAGCATCGCGTTCGTTGAGATACAGATAGGCTATTGCCCAGAGCGACATAAACCGCAACTCACTCACTTATTACTTTACATTTACACTGCAACGTAAAATTTTGATGACTGTGATGTTCTTTAACAACATCACGAATTATTATCAAAAATATATTCCGAGCGGGATTTCAGCGAAAACAAATTTATTGTTTTATGATCCTTAACTGGAATTAAATAACATCATCGCGCCGGCATGATGAACACGTGGTTATATTTGACCAAATCTGACTGGAGTCTAAATATACCACTCAAAAAACGTTAAAGATGCATATGGTGTTATTTTGAATATCATTAATCTGCAATGGCTGCAACACACGTTCGTAGTAGATACGATGCTTCAGTTTGATTGAAAGTACAGTTTGATAAATAGACATTGGTTGGAGCTGAGTGGGAATTTTGATAAATTCTTCCTATAGAGATATGGAATCGATTTACGTAAATAATATTGAAGCAAACATCGATAACATTTTTATAAATTACACATTTCGACGAGTTGGACAACTGACTAAAAATAAAGTGTTTTAGCCTGATCATTAATCCTTTGTTTGATAACTGATAAATAATATATTGATAACTCCTGCCTTAACCATATTTCATTGTTTGACAAAATACATTTCACTTGATACCCCCAAGTCTTAACACCACAGATCTTTCAATGATAGGTTGCTGGACATACGATGCTTAATGTGAATAGGTTGCAAGACATACGATCCTAAATGTGAATAGACTGCAGGACATACGATGCTAACTGTGGATAGATTGCAGGAGATACCATGCTAAATGTGAATAGACTCTAGGACATACGATGCTAAATGTGGATAGATTTCAGGGCATACGATGCTAAATGTGGATGAATTGCAGGACATACGATGCTAAATGTAAATAGATTGCAGGACATACGATGCTAAATGTGAATAGATTGCAGGACATACCATGCTAAATGTGGATAGATTGCAGGACATACGATGCTAAATGTGAATAGATTTCAGGGCATACGATGCTAAATGTGGATGGATTGCAGGACATACGATGCTAAATGTGAAAAGATTTCAGGGCATACGATGCTAAATGTGGATGGATTGCAGGACATACGATGCTAAATGTGAATAGATTGCAGGACATACGATGCTAAATGTGAAAAGATTGCAGGACATACCATGCTAAATGTGGATAGATTGCAGGACATACGATGCTAAATGTGGATAGATTGCAGGACATACGATGCTAAATGTGGATAGATTGCAGCACATATGATGCTAAATGTGAATAGATTGCAGGACATACGATGCTAAATGTGAATAGATTGCAGGACATACCATGCTAAATGTGGATAGATTGCAGGACATACGATGCTAAATGTGAATAGATTTCAGGGCATACGATGCTAAATGTGGATGGATTGCAGGACATACGATGCTAAATGTGAATAGATTTCAGGGCATACGATGCTAAATGTGGATGGATTGCAGGACATACGATGCTAAATGTGAATAGATTGCAGGACATACGATGCTAAATGTGAAAAGATTGCAGGACATACCATGCTAAATGTGGATAGATTGCAGGACATACGATGCTAAATGTGGATAGATTTCAGGACATACGATGCTAAATGTGGATAGATTGCAGCACATATGATGCTAAATGTGAATAGATTGCAGGACATACGATGCTAAATGTGAATAGATTGCAGGACATACGATGTTAAATGTGGATAGGTTGCAGGAGATACTATGCTAAATGTGAATAGATTGCAGGACATACGATGCTAAATGTGGATAGAATGCAGGACATACGATGCTAAATGTGAATAGATCGCAGGACAAACGATGCTAAATGTGGATAGATTGCAGGACATACGATGCTAAATGTGAATAGATTGCAGGACATACGATGCTAAATGTGGATAGAATGCAGGACATACGATGCTAAATGTGGATAGATTGCAGGACATACCATGCTAAATATGGATAGATTGCAGGACATACGGTGCTAAATGTGAATAGATTTCAGGGCATACGATGCTAAATGTGGATGGATTGCAGGACATACGATGCTAAATGTGAATAGATTTCAGGGCATACGATGCTAAATGTGGATTGATTGCAGGACATACGATGCTAAATGTGAATAGATTGCAGGACATACGATGCTAAATGTGAATAGATTGCAGGACATACCATGCTAAATGTGGATAGATTGCAGGACATACGATGCTAAATGTGGATAGATTGCAGGACATACGATGCTAAATGTGGATAGATTGCAGCACATATGATGCTAAATGTGAATAGATTGCAGGACATACGATGCTAAATGTGAATAGATTGCAGGACATACGATGTTAAATGTGGATAGGTTGCAGGAGATACCATGCTAAATGTGAATAGATTGCAGGACATACGATGCTAAATGTGGATAGAATGCAGGACATACGATGCTAAATATGAATAGATTGCAGGACAAACGATGCTAAATGTGGATAGATTGCAGGACATACGATGCTAAATGTGAATAGATTGCAGGACATACGATGCTAAATGTGAATAGATTGCAGGACATACGATGCTAAATGTGGACAGATTGCAGGTTCTGCTTGGTAAACAGACAGTGGTGTGTACAATATTTCCTGTGTACACATTTTTTTGTTCAGTACAATTCGATCTGTAATGACGAGATAAATAACAAGGTGTGAGCTTGGGAGATGGTGGTAGTCACGTGGTAGTCTGCCATAAGACCCTTAAACAAATACATCCAAGGAAGCCCATGCAAGTATAGAATGTGTGGCAAGTCTAGATTTCCACAGTCTCTGAAAATGAAGAAAGTCTCTGGACTCCTTTTCATTACATTTTATGATTATTATTTATGAACAGTGTTTGTTCATTTCAGAGATCAGATGGTCTAGTTATGAGGTTGCAAATTTGTAAATAGATTCGACTTTCAGCTCACTTCCGTTTCAAATTTAAGCCTCTTAATCGCGAATAAGCGAATAATCATTGAGCTGCCGAAACTCTCTTCTTCGGACTTCGGATGAGAATATAATAAAATGATCACTGAAAAGCAGTTCACACAATTTGCATATTAGAGTGATAGCATTTTGCCTGAGTCCGCACCCACCAAACCCCTTTGTGTGTGCTTGTTAATTTTGGAACAGCCAATTTTCCAACTTCACCACTGCCGTCTGTAAATAGTCTGGACCAGGCAAACTCGAGATAATGGGCTTCACCACAGTGGACAATGAAATCTTGAAATTGTGAAATAATTCTATTCAACTTTTAGTCGTTTTCGTCTCAAGCCTTGGATATTGTGGACACCTTTTGTTCCTGAATCTCCGAAAGGAAAGGAGAAATTGTGTATTTGATATTGTATTCATTATTGTATGTTTGCATGTCTGCCTGTCTGTCTGTCTGTCTGTATGCATACCGAGTGTCTTTGTTTCAGGTAGTCCAGATGGTGTTAGTGGGGCTTACAGTAGCCAGCGTGGTATCAGGTCACCTGGAGCCGTACAGCATATCACAGACCCCAGCCTCCTACACAGCAGCTGGTATACGACTGGTCCACACTGGTAGGTAGACACAGCCACATCGCTCAACTGTTCCATCAACCCATTGTTCCATCAAATCATTGTTCCATCAACCCATTCTTCCATCAACCGATTGTTTCATCAACACATTGTTCCATCAACACATTGTTCCATCGACTCATTGTTTCATCAACCCATTGCGCCATCAACTGATTGTTCCATCCATGAACTCATTGTTCAATCAACCCATTGTTCAATCAACCCATTGTTCCCTCAACACTGTGTTCAACAAACCCATTGTCCCATTGTTCCATCAACTCATTGTTCCATTAACCCATTGTTCCATCAACTGATTGTTTCATCAACATATTGTTCCATTTACTCATTCCTCCTGAGAGGGTACGTAAGTCCCAAAATTTTCAAAGTCAATTTAAACGTACCAGGATTATTAAACGTAGTATTCTTGTAATTTTAACATTGGCTAACATTTCTTACAATCACCAGCAGCTGAAGTGATGATGTAAACCCAGCTAGGGTCCATGCAGGTAGCAAAGGTACTGTAAGTCCCCATGGACCCTAGTATGGTGATCTATCTTCAGTTGTTGGTGATCTATTTATATTGTGTTGTCCCTTATAGTTAACATGTTTTAGATTCAATTACTAGTTTTACATTTATATCTGTGATATTCTAGTTGTTTTTACTGTCCTTCGTCAACAGGTATTTATAACGTACATATATTCCATTTCAATGTCAAATGTTCTCATTTCACTTTTTATTGTATAAATAGTTTTCGTCACGATATGGCTGAAATATTGCCGATGTGACGTTAAATAATAACTCATTCACTCACTCCATTTACTCATTGTTCCATCAACTCATTGCTCCATCAACATTGTTCAATCAACTCATTGTTCAATCAACCCATTGTTCAATCAACCGATTGTTCCATCAACAGATTGTTCTATCAACTCATTGTTCCATCAACCCATTGTTGCATCAACTCATTGTTCCATCAACCCATTGTTCCATCAACTTGTTCCATCAACCCATTTCCATCAGCATCAACCCATTGTTCCATCAGCCCATTGTTCCATCAACCCATTGTTCCATCAACCCATTGTTCCATCAACCCATTGTTCCATCAACCCATTGTTCCATCAACCCATTGTTCCATCAACTCATTGTTCCATCAACCCACTGTTCCATCAACCCACTGCTCCTTCCCTCCATCATGCTCCAGTCCACCACTCTATCGGAACCTTTGCTCTATCGCCACATCGTCCCATTACATCATCACATCACCGTTCCATCATTCAGCTCTTCAGTAACTCATGTTTGTCTTAAGAGGCGACTAACGGGATCGGGTATTCAGGCTCACTGACTTGGGTGACACGTGTCATCGTATCCCAGTTGCAGAGATCGATGCTCATGATGTCAATCCCAGCATAGTCTGGTTAAAGGCGGTGATAAAAAACAACAACAAACAAACACTTTCTTTCGCATCATCACTCCACCGTCACTGTATTCCATCGTTCCTTGCCCACATAAATCCATACATATATTACTCAGTCTCTCCATTGCTCCATCTGTCTATTGGTCCATCGTTCCACCTGTCCATTGTTCCATTAACGCCATCGTTCCGTCCCCACATCACTCCATCGATCTATTGGTCCATCGTTCCATCATTCCGACACGCCATCACTCTATTACTTAATCCTTCTATTCTCTCGCTCCCTTGCTCAATCACTCCATTACGTGACACAGGTCATCTGTATTTTGTATAATTGCATAATCATAATACGTAATGGTACGTGGTCCTATGTACTGCAGACGGGTCATTAAATAAGTTAAGCGCGGCATTCATGCTAACAACCACTGGGTCGGACAGTTTGTCTCACAAGCTGGAGTCCATCTGGACTAAAACAAGAACCAATCCTATGACATGTCACCACATCCGTGATCACTGATTCAGGTCACAGGTTTGAAAGACTCCTATAAGGAAGGTGGGGATTTGGCTTCGTCATAGAAATGTTTATCATACCATTTGTCCAGCTGTGATATCACAAAACAAATGACCAAACAATGTAACCCTTTAACCTGTTAACCCGAACGAGCAGAGTCCTGTCTTACACACGACATTAAAATGTGGTACTTGTTATTACTCTGCCTGGATATTTTTTGGGACGATACGAGGACTGCTCGTGAGTCTGATTACTTTGTTTTAGTTGGGTATCGATGTTAAACCAATGTTCATTCAGAGAACTTGTGTGGCAGGGCGTGGAGTCATCCCATAGATGATATCCTTACCATATCAGTTTACTGACGGGGTTAAACTCATGGTCATGTGGACAAGGCGTCCGACTTTGAATCAGAAGGTCCGTGGTTCGAATCCAAGCACGGACTCGGAACCTTTATGGCAGCTACCACAAACACGGCATCGATCGAAGTCGGCCACATAAACACACGTGGTCACTACTCAATTAAATGTGCCGTTTCCCTAATTTCACCTTACCGATTCCGTCCAGTGTTTGGCCACGTGTCTGACGATGATGTCGCGACGGAAGGGGCTGTACAGTCCGTGCCTGCTGTTCCTGTTCTGGTTCCTCTGGCTGCTCTGCGACATCGTTCCTTTCTACAGCAGAGCAATGCAGTGGGTAAGTACTGTCTCACATGATAATAACTATAACCATTATCATGTAAGTGGTCGTGAGTAAGTGAGTTTTATTTTACGCCGCACTCAGCAATATTTCAGCTACATGGCGGCAGTCTGTAAATAATCGAGTCTGGACCAGCCAATCCAGTGATCAACAGCATGAGCATCGATCTACACAATTGGGAACCGATGTGTCATCCAACCTCACCACCCGGTCCCTTTAGTCGCCTCTCACGACATGTACGTGGTACTGAGGGAGTAACTAAGAGTATAGACCGCTTTTAACAATATTCAAGCAATATTACGGCATGGGGCATCAGAAACCGGCTCCACTCAATATACCCATATGGGGATTCGAACCGGGTTCTTTGGCGTGACGAGCGAACGCTTTAACCACTGGGCTACCCCACGGACATGTGCGTAGTAGAAGAGCTCACTTCTTAAAACAGTCATTCCCTTGCCTGAAAACAGGGTTCAACTCCCGACAGGGGTACAAGGTTTGAAGCAGAATCCCCGTAGTGCCCCGGGGCACGTTGCAAATAACTGCGCAAAGCTACAATCCTTAGGACTGCAAGAGACTTATGATTTTGGGTTCGAATCTAATATTCGCCTTCATTACTTTTCATGCTTTGTCAGTGCCATACCTGTGCTTGAAGGTGAAGGTCGGAGATCATACCCCAGTAGAGCGAGGAAAGTTAACGTCGCATAGGCAGTGTCGTAATACATCAAGAACACATTAATACATTACGTTTTCTAAGATGTATTTTCATACAAATAACTGGGTAGAATTGATATTTTGCACTCCATGGCGACTGACGGGATCGTGTGATCAACAGCATGAGCATCAATCTATGCAATTTGGGCACGATGACATGTGTCAACCAAGTCAGCGAGCCTGACCACACGATCCGGTTACTCGCCTCTTACGACAAGCACGAGGACCAATTATTTGCAGGTGGGTATACGCAGTGTGTTTCATTTGTCCTTCCAGAATGAGCGACCTACGTCTGACCTGGCGTTGTTCTACGTCCAGTATGCACTGATTCTGGTGGAGTTCTTTTTGCTCTGGTTTCCCGACAATGATCAAATCATTCTGACCACAGGAGTCGATGAAAAGAGGGTAAGATGCATTGTATATCTGTTTGTTGATCAGTTGGTCGGTGCCAAAGCCCATCCATCCAGGAGGAAGCAAAGGGACGAAATATGATTGTTTAACATCTCGCAGTTACACTAAGAAAGTTGATTTCAATAATTGTCAAATATTGCCCATTGTGCAGCTTAACTGTTTAAACACGGCCACAAAACACTGAAATACGGTATCCTTATCCACCGTTAATCTTAACTCAATGCTAGCGTTGAAAACACAGGGCAGATTCGGTAGCCTAGGGTTAAAGAGTTCGCTTGTCACGCTGAAGATCATTTCTTGTGTCCCCCGCCGTGACATTGCTGGAATATTGCTAAAAGCGGCGTAAATCTAGACTCACTCACATACTCACTCACAGATTGTAGTAAGTACAGACGTATGATGGACTCCCCATGTTTCCGACGTCGGCCATGTCGATGACATATTGCTGTTGTTCCTCTGTTGTGACGTTGACGTCAACGAGCCGATAGCTGCGAATGTGATGCGATTCCACTTTCATTTAACAATGTGCCAGGGAAGATTTCTGGTGTTCCCCGTCATGATGTTGCTGTAATATTGCTAAAAGCGGCGTAAAACCATACTCACTCTAAAGATGCAACTCATAGTCGTTTAAGCTGATCTGAGACAAAGGCTGTGTCTTTGGCATACTGATTAAGTTTTTTTTAAGATTGTATGTCAGTTGTAATAGGTCGCGGTACATTTTCTTCTGTACAGCTCCCCTGTCCCGAGACCACGTCTTCTTTCCCGGAGAAGGTCACATTTGGTTGGATGCAGAGGTAAGAGCCAACGTTACTCCTTATTAACTTCTCTCACTGACAACTTCATTTCAATATATATTCATGTGTAATCGACCCGTGAAGATGCGGGTTAGAATTGATCTTCAGTAAACCATGCTCGTAAGAGGCGACTAGCGGGATCGGGTGGACAGGCTCGCTGACTTGGTTGACACCTGTAATCGTATCCCAATTACGTAGATCAATGCTAATGCTGTTGATCACTGGATTGTTTGGTTCAGACTCGATTATGTAAAGACCGCCGCCATATAGCTGGACTATTGCTGAGTGCGGCGTAAAACTATTCTCACTCACTCATATGTAATTGTGTTAGTGGAAGGTTGTCAGTTCTGAGACGTAGATCAAAGGGTTCACAAGACGTATAAATACTGATCAGATATTTGATGAAATATATATTTTTTGACGCAGTATTCGTTCCGGCGAAATACATTCAAGGGGATGTAACAGCCGTTTCATTATAACCTAAATGTTCATAATCATATGTAGATTAATAAGTTATTAAATGATAATAGCGTACAGGTGAATTAGATACGACGAAGTTATGAAGATCAGACTTTCACCTTTTGGTTAAACTGTCAAGTACGAGTATGGTACAGACAAACTAAAAGTAACTATCTAGGATTCGAACTTCTGAATCTGCTTTGACTCACTCACTCACCCACCCACCCAAACTCACTCACTCACCCAAGAAGCACCTTCTTTGGGAATGTTATTTCTCCAGGCTCATTAATTTACCCAATTTCCCAAACATCATGGCTACTCTCACAGATTGTTATTGCTAAAAGCGGCGTAAAACTAAACTCAGTCAGTCAGTCACACATTGTTTTGCCTCCCCTCCACAGCATCATCTGGACGGGTTGGCGCCGGCCCCTGATGGAAGAGGATCTCTGGGACCTCCCCCCTCACATCAAGTGTAAACAAGTCGTCCCGAGGTTCTTCAAGAATCTCGAAAAATACTTTTTCAGGTCCCACACGTACGTAGTGATTAGTTCAGCTAAAAAACATGTATATGTTAAATCTTTATACCTGGCCTCCTTGTGGACCAGTAGCAATCTCCAGCTTGACAGCAAAATATAGGAGATAGGTCAGTTGACAGAGATATAGGTCAGTTGGAGATATAGCAAGATGTATTCGGTATTGTTATAAAGCTTGGAATCTCTAGTTTTCCAAAACCAATGTTGCCAGACTTGAAAGTGTCAGGTAATATGTCATTTTTGGCGTTTCCATGGTAACCACGCTATTTTACGGAGAACATGAGTGCTATATATCAACGAATATATCTTTCCTATAAATAGGGATTTTATCATATTGAGAATGCATGTAATGATCCAAGCACAAACAAAGAGGTCAAAGGTGAAGGTCACAGCAATCCGACAGGCGTGTTTCAATTTCTGGCACCAAAAGCCACTGCTCTATTACTTAGAGAAACACCTTTTGTGTGAAATGTTTGAAAAATAAACCCTTTCACCCTATGGACCACTGAAAACAGTCTGACCTTGTTGATGGGGAGCATTAGACACGTAGTATCGAAATGTCAGAGTAGACACACAATGGGAAAATACTGTTTCCTAAATCTCTATGTTTGCACGACGACAATTTACCGTGTGTTTACTGAAGTGTTATTACATTATGAAAACGTATGAAAAATGAACATTTTTTGGTGAAATAGCATCAGAAATATATACAACAAAGAAGGATTACGTCGGGACCGTAAGTTCAGTCCGGTTTATACAGCAATCCGAGAAATACAGAGTCCGAGTTGGACAGAGTGCACTGTACTTATATAATTATGTTTTTAAAATCGTAATGTTCAAGCCATGTTAAATTTTACCCACGAATTGCAGAATAAGAAGTTTACTCACAATTACCTGAAGCAGCGTCACTCAAGTAAAAAGCATTCATTTGTACATTCTACCTTGTTATCGGGGGCGGTGGGGGTAGCCTTGGGGTTACATACATCTCTAATGGTACTTCTGGAAAGGTGCTAAAAACGGCGCAAATTAAGCTCACTCACTCACTTTACATAACAGAGAGAAATGTTTGGTCATTTCTGTGAGCAATAACCATAAAAATAGTAAATATTAGGATTTATCCGTTGGTTTGTGTGTGCACTCCGAGAATATTTTGTATGTGTTTCTAAGTGAGGTAAAATAATAAATTTGTTTTATTTTGATTGAAACATTTCATTCATATGTATGTGACGAGCCACTATTTTGTCAACCCTCTTATTCCTTCGTCAAGCCACTACAAGCCACTTATTTATCTGACTCGTGAAGATCCGGGTTAGAATCTGTATTCACCAACCCAGGCTTGTCTTAAGAGGCTGCTAACGGGATCGGGTGGTCAGGGTCGCTGACTTGTTTGACACATGTCATCATATCCCAGTTGCATAGATCGATGCTCATGCTGTTGATCACTGGATTGTCTCGTCCAGACTCAGTTATTTACAGACCGCCGCCATATATCTGGTATATTGCTAAGTGCGGCGTAAATCTAAACTCACTCACTATTTATCTATCCACAAATACACTCGTCAATCTGTTTACTCGCCAGCCCACGACTTACTAACTCATCAACGCAGTAACTTTACAACCCCTCGTAATCCCTCATTCACGAACCCAGTCGCTTACTAAATCACCTACTAACTCACTCACTCACTCACTCACTCAGAAACACACCAGACGGAGCCACTCGTGTTCCGAAGATCCCCGAGAAACAGACCCTCCTGGAGCTTCAGCACATATCGCAGGGACCAGGGAACACTCGTCCTCAGAAGGATGACCTCCCTGACGTCATATACAAGACGTCACAGGTTGATGACGTCACGGCGTCGGGGAGAGTCAGCAGCTTCAGGATCCTCAAGGCTCTGTTGAAGACGTACGGGCAGGAGCTCAGCAGGGCACACATATTCAAACTTGCGTGTGACATTATACGATTCCTGAACCCATTATTACTCAAGTAAGCACAACACGCTTATATTACTCAAAACAAGTTAAAGAATAGTAGTAGTAGGTGTAGTTATAGTAGATGTTGTAGCAGCAGTTGTAGCAGTTGTCGTATGAGTAGGTGTGGTGGTAGTAGTAATAGCAGCAGTAGTGATAGTAATAGCAGCAGCAATAGCAGTAATAGCAGCAGCAGCAATAGTAGTAATAGCAGCAGCAATAGTAGTAATAGCAGCAGCAATAGTAGTAATAGCAGCAGTAGTGATAGTAATAGCAGCAGCAATAGTAGTAATAGCAGCAGCAATAGTAGTAATAGCAGCAGCAATAGTAGTAATAGCAGCAGCAATAGTAGTAATAGCAGCAGTAGTGATAGTAATAGCAGCAGCAATAGCAGTAATAGCAGCAGCAGCAATAGTAGTAATAGCAGCAGTAGTGATAGTAATAGCAGCAGTAATAGCAGCAGCAATAGTAGTAATAGCAGCAGTAGTGATAGTAATAGCAGCAGCAATAGCAGCAATAGTGATAATAGCAGTAATAGCAGCAGCAGTAGTAGTAATAGCAGCAGCAATGGTGGTAATAGCAGTAATAGCAGCAGCAGTAGTAGTAATAGCAGCAGCAATAGTTGTAATAGCAGCAGCAATGGTGGTAATAGCAGTAATAGCAGCAGCAATAGTAGTAATAGCAGCAGTAATAGCAGCAGCAATAATAGTAGGCGTTGTTCGTATGGAATTACTAACTGCTTTTATTGAAGAATAAGTTGATTACATTACAGTATACTAATAGAATTATATTGTGTTGTGTCGTTTTGTATTGTATTAAAACACATTGTATTCTATCATATATACAACAGTACATGTCAACATTATCTATGACACATATTTTACATGGTAACCAAAAATAATCACATTTTAACAGGTTAATGATCGGGTTCATCGAAAACAAACAGACCGAGAAGATATGGAAGGGTTACGGTCTCTCGGTGTGTTTCTTTCTGGTGTCCGTCACCATCTCACTGCTTAACGCCCAGGCCTTCTACATCAACCACAACACCTCCATGAAGATCAGGACGGGTCTGGTGGCCGCGGTGTACAAGAAGGTGAGTGACCAGTGTGCTGGACTGACCCTCGATGGACAGAATGAAGGGACCAATTGTTCGCGAAGATGGTTAATTATAGTGATATAGTGACGCAAAGGGATTAGATATTGTTGATGTCCATGCTCTCAGTGTCGAAGCAGTCGCAGTAATCGTGGTTGTGGATAGTCTGTTTTCAGTGAAAACGTACCGGTGGAATTGCACTTTAAACAAAAATGTAAATCGAATAAAGTGAAATTAAGATTGCGAATCCTCATAACTCTACCTTGCCAATTAAACATTTAAATCTCAGAATTTTATTCAACTTAGGAAAAAAGTTGTTTAACAAACGATCACAGCTTCAAATCGCTTATATTGGTTTGTATTACAAGGGGGTAAGCGCAGTAGTTGGAACAGTGAAACAAATGCACTTGCGGTACGTGATGAGCGTTAACTTAGACCAACTCTCTTCGTTCTCGTTGTTTCATTTAATGTGCTTACCCCCTTGTAATACAAACCAATAATGCCGATTTGAAACTATGATCGTTTGTTAAACAACTTTTATCCTAAGTTGAATAAAATTCTGAGATTTAAATTTTCAAATGGCAAGGTAAAGTTATGAGGATTCGCAATCTTAATTTCACTTTATTTGATTACTTTTTTGCTTAAAGTGAAATTCATCGGTACGTTTTCACCTCAAACAGACTATAGTACCCGAAAAAGTAGTTGTAGAAGAAGAAGTAGTAGTAGTAATAGCAGTAGTAGTAGTAGTAGTAACAACAGTAGCAGTAGTCTTAGTAGCAGCAGTAGTTGTTGTAGCACCACACGTAGTAGATGTTCAGCCTGTTCCTTCATTCTTCTTCTTCCTCAAATTATGAGGATTCGCAATCTTAATTTCACCTTATTTGCTCAATTTTGTGTTTAAAGTGAAATTCATCGGTGCGTTTTCACCTCAAACAGACTATAGTACCCGAAGAAGTAGTTGTAGAAGAAGTAGTATTAGTAGCAGCAGTAGTAGTAGTCGTAGTAACAACAGTAGCAGTAGTCTTAGTAGCAGCAGTAGTTGTTGTAGCACCACACGTAGTAGATGTTCAGCCTGTTCCTTCATTCTTCTTCTTTCTCAAATTATGAGGATTCGCAATCTTAATTTCACCTTATTTGATCAATTTTGTATTTAAAGTGAAATTCATCGGTGCGTTTTCACCGCAAACAGACTAAAGTACCCGAAGAAGTAGTTGTAGAAGAAGAAGTAGTAGTAGTAGTAGCAGTAGTAGTAGTAGTAGTAGCAACAACAGTAGCAGTAGTCTTAGTAGCAGCAGTAGTTGTTGTTGTAGCACCACACGTAGTAGATGTTCAGCCTGTTCCTTCATTCTTCTTCTTCCTAAAAATAATGAGGATTCCCAATCTTAATTTTACCTTATTTGATCAATTTTGTGTTTAAAGTGAAATTCATCGGTGCGTTTTCACCTCAGACTATAGTACCCGAAGAAGTAGTTGTAGAAGAAGTAGTATTAGTAGCAGCAGTAGTAGTAGTCGTAGTAACAACAGTAGCAGTAGTCTTAGTAGCAGCAGTAGTTGTTGTAGCACCAAACGTAGTAGATGTTCAGCCTGTTCCTTCATTCTTCTTCTTTCTCAAATTATGAGGATTCGCAATCTTAATTTCACCTTATTTGATCAATTTTGTATTTAAAGTGAAATTCATCGGTGCGTTTTCACCGCAAACAGACTAAAGTACCCGAAGAAGTAGTTGTAGAAGAAGAAGTAGTAGTAGTAGTAGCAGTAGTAGTAGTAGTAGTAGCAACAACAGTAGCAGTAGTCTTAGTAGCAGCAGTAGTTGTTTTAGCAACACACGTAGTAGTTGTTTCAGATGTTCAGCCTGTTCCTTCAGTCTTCTTCCTTCCTCCAGTCCCTGACGATGAACAACGAATCCAGGAAGCTCTACACAACTGGGGCCATCGTCAACATCATGTCTGTCGACTGCAGCAGGGTGGAAGGATGTGTGTGTCAGCTCTTTCAGCTGTGGTCAGCTCCGCTCAGTCTGGTGCTGTGCTTCTACTTCCTGTATCAGGTGATCGGCATCTCCATGGTCGCCGGCGTTGCAGTGATGGTCGTCATGGCGCCGCTCAACTACAAGTTGGTGTTCTACATGAAGAAACTACACAACAAGCAGCTCAGTATTAAGGACGAGAGGCTGAAGAACATGAACGAAATACTGAACGGAATTAAGGTATTTGTTTACACACAGTGGAACCTCAGCAATACGGCTTTTGGTCCTAACGATTGGATTAGAGAGGTTGTTTTATCGATTTGCTAAGAAACAAATATGTATTGTCATGTTTGTCGATTTTTTATTTGATTGAAATTATGATTTTACGTATACACAAACAAATTAATGACAGACCAACAAACAAATTGATCAGAACACCAGAAGCTGCTAGTTTGTAGAATTGAGAGAAAGAATTTATAAACTATTTCTTCTGTGATGTAATGATCTATTTTATGAATGTAGTCACCGTACTTTTTCAAATATGCAATGAGGAAAAAGAAAATTCGACAAAGTTATCTTTTACTCAGTGAACTGTTCCAAACTTACAATCACATTTGATAAGGGTTTTAAATCGATTAAATTTCAGTATACAGTCACACAATCATGAAGTGTTCGGTTTCTCCCTGTTAGTGGAGTAGGACGCAAGTAAGACAGTCACGCTATGCTGGATCAAACACTCACTCACTCACTCACTCACTCACTCACTCATCAACCCAAAACTCAGTCACTCACCCAATCACTCAAGCTCCCACCTACTCACTCACCCATCAACCGAAACACAGAAAACTCACTCACTCACCCAATCACTCAAGCACCCACCCAAACACCCAAGACTCACCCACTCACTCATTTGTTACTCACTCAGTCACTCCTATGTTGCAGGTGTTAAAGCTCTATGCGTGGGAATCCTCGTTTAGGGACAAGGTGATGGCTATCAGAAGCAGAGAAATCGCACTCATCAAGAAACTCGCCATCATGAACGCCCTCAACGTGTTCTGCTGGGTCGGTGCTCCGACGTTGGTAAGTGCACACTGTTGGGGAACCGCGTTGTGCTTCTTAAAGGGACACTACCATCTGAACATTTGGCAGTCCCAGTCTTATTCTTATTGCTAATTCATATTGTATGATGAACATGAACGGTTTTATTTGCAATCAAGAACCTGTTTCCTGTAATATTTGCCGTATTGTATTGTCCAATGGGCCTGTGGCCGCTTTGACAGAAATAAACTATATATAAAAAAATATATTTGCTGTGAAATCACGAAAATTCATACGTAGGTTCATTTTAACTGAAATTAAGTACACTTTAATTTTGAAAACTGAAACCTTGTCGACATGTAAGATTTCTGCTTAGTGGTAGTTTTCCAAGCTTTTTCCTGGACGGTTGTTCTATTTCACCATCTCCCAAACAGGTGACACTGGCGAGTTTTGTGACGTATGTGCTGACGTCAGAACACCAGTTCCTGGATTCTCAGACTGGCTTCGTGGCGCTGGCGCTCTTCAACATTCTCCGCGAACCAATGAACGCACTTCCCATGGCTTTATCCAACCTGGCTCAAGTAGGTCCAATGGTCATGCAGACTAAAGTACTTATATCATCACATCAGAGGTGAGGTGAAATTGGGTTTATCGCCGTACTTGAGAATATTTCGCTCATATGACGACGTGCATGCGTGTGTATGTGTATGTGCGGCTGCTTGTACTAGCCCAGACTGAAGCTGGTTTTATAGTGCTAGCCCACTGAGATACCATGCTGCAGTGAAGCATGAATTCCCCACTCAGACACATTATACTGACTCCGAGCCGACCAGTCCTTGTTGTACCCATTAATGCCGAGCGCCAGGCAGGAACCAACAAGTACCATATTTTAACGTGTTTTGAAGCATTTGCTCTACACTCGAAAAGCCCAGGTTCAATGCTCCACATGGGTACATAGTTAGAAGACAGTTTCTGGTGTCCCCAGAAATATTAAGTATGTTCAGTTCATGATGTGACACAAGACATTAGTATGTTCAGTTCATATGACACAAGTATGTTTAGATCATGATGTGACACAAGTATGTTTAGATCAAGATGTGACACAAATATTTTTAGATTATGATATGACACAAGTATGTTCAGTTCATGATATGACATAAGTATGTTCAGTTCATGATATGACACAAGTATGTTCAGTTCATGATATGACACAAGTATGTTCAGTTCATGATGTGACACAAGAATGTTCAGTTCATGATATGACACAAGTATGTTCAGTTCATGATATGACATAAGTATGTTCAGTTCATGATATGACACAGATATGTTTAGATCATGATGTGACACAAGTATGTTCAATTCATGATATGACACAAGTATGTTCAGATCATGATGTGACACAAGTATGTTTAGATCATGATATGACACAGATATGTTTAGATCATGATATGACACAGATATGTTTAGATCATGATGTGACACAAGTATGTTCAATTCATGATATGACACAAGTATGTTCAGATCATGATGTGACACAAGTATGTTTAGATCAAGATGTGACACAAATATTTTTAGATTATGATATGACACAAGTATGTTCAGTTCATGATATGACATAAGTATGTTCAGTTCATGATATGACACAAGTATGTTCAGTTCATGATATGACACAAGTATGTTCAGTTCATGATGTGACACAAGTATGTTCAGTTCATGATATGACATAAGTATGTTCAGTTCATGATATGACACAAGTATGTTCAGTTCATGATATGACACAAGTATGTTCAGTTCATGATGTGACACAAGAATGTTCAGTTCATGATATGACACAAGTATGTTCAGTTCATGATATGACATAAGTATGTTCAGTTCATGATATGACACAGATATGTTTAGATCATGATGTGACACAAGTATGTTCAATTCATGATATGACACAAGTGTGTTCAGATCATGATGTGACACAAGTATGTTTAGATCAAGATGTGACACAAATATTTTTAGATTATGATATGACACAAGTATGTTCAGTTCATGATATGACATAAGTATGTTCAGATCATGATGTGACACAAGTATGTTTAGATCATGATGTGATACAGGTATGTTTAGATCATGATATGACACAGATATGTTTAGATCATGATGTGACACAAGTATGTTCAATTCATGATATGACACAAGTATGTTCAGATCATGATGTGACACAAGTATGTTTAGATCAAGATGTGACACAAATATTTTTAGATTATGATATGACACAAGTATGTTCAGTTCATGATATGACATAAGTATGTTCAGTTCATGATATGACACAAGTATGTTCAGTTCATGATATGACACAAGTATGTTCAGTTCATGATGTGACACAAGAATGTTCAGTTCATGATATGACACAAGTATGTTCAGTTCATGATATGACACAAGTATGTTCAGTTCATGATATGACACATGTAAAACGTGACACAGTGTGATATATGTTACTTATATATATGTTTTTACTGAAATCTTAGTGTTTATTAGTGTTCATAAATGTGTCAGACGGAGGATACGAGAGTAAACATTGTGTCCGTAGTAACAGTTATGAACGACAAAAGTAGTCCCGCATTACGATGTCATGTGATTGTCTCAACCGGCCAATATAATGGCCTCTTGGGTTTATTACACGCGTGCTACGTATCGAAAATATGTCATCACTCAGTTTAACACACATGGGTAATGTATTTTAGAGCATGATATAACACAAGAATGCCCAGACTATGATGACTCATGTATGGTCAAATTATCATTTTGCACAAGAATTTCAGATAATACATTGACGTACCTGTGTATATAAATAATACACATGTCTTTTTTAAATAATCAAATTGGGAATGTATATGATCACGATCTCCCTGCCTAGTTACATGTGTTACATATCTCAGTATCAAATATTCTTGCATTTTTAATCACGTTTATTAGTCATGCTAGTGGCAAAGCGACTTCATATATTCTATCAATATGGGCTCTCAGTAGGACACAATGTGACGAACCATACCTAGATAAGTAACCAACCCCACCTCCCTCCCCTAGCAACCGCAGTTAGTGGTGTATGTCCCCCGTGAAGATCCGGGATAGAATTGATCTTCAGCAACCCATGCTTGTCGTAAGAGATGACTAACGGGATCGGGTGGTCAGGCTCGCTGATTGGGTTGACACATGTCATCGCATCCCAACTGCGAAGATCAAAGCTCATGCTGTTGATCACTGGATTGTCTAGTCCAGACTCAATTATTTACAGACCTCCGCCGTATAGTTGGAATATTGCTGAGCGCGGCGTTAAACAACAACCAAACTAAACATATGTCACCGCATCCCAATAGTGATCCATGTTCACTAGACGCAATGGTCAGATCGCCACTCGGCGTAAAACAACATACTGACCAGCAGTCAGTGGTGTAATCGGATCCTCATCTTCCAGGGCATCGTCTCATTGAACAGACTGACCAAGTACCTCTCCGGTCAAGACCTGGATCCAGAGACGGTCAAAGACACCACAGAGAAAGGTGAATATAGCTTAGACAGCATTTTCTCCTTGTGTCTGGGATTGGGCGGTCAGGCTCGCTGACTTGGTTGACACATGTCGTCGTATCCCAATTGCGTAGAACGATGCTCATGATGTTGATCATTGGATTGTCTGGTCCAGACTCGATTATTTACATACCGCATGCTTGTAACCATGCTTAACAAAGCTAAGTATATTTATTTGTCATCTAACGAGAGACCAGCTCTCATACAAAAATACACCCAGCCTCATCAACGAGCTCGTTTACCGGCCCGTTAACATCCGGGTTACAGTTGGTCTTCAGCAACCCATGCTTGTCGTAAGAGGCGACTAACGGGATCGGGTTGTCAGGGTCGGGTTGTCGCGCTTGGTGACGTCAATGCATGTCGCCGTATCCCGGGTCGATACTCATGATGTCAATCACTAGATTGTTTTGTCCTGAAAAAATAAGTTGAATATTGCTGTCTGCGGCGTTAAACAAACAAACAAACAAACAAAACACAAGATGAAGAGGAACACATTTTATGGATAGACAACTTCTTTATTGCAATATATGCGACGTTTCGGTGTAGATCCCAACACTTTTATCAAGCAAATGATGAGAATCCTTAGTGCTACGTAAAGAAAAAAACACAAGATGCATACGACAGTTTCGTGAAATCAACGAGACTGTTTCTGATCTAGAACAGTGAACCATATTTGAATGACTCAGAATCACTTGAATTTGTATCTCGTATAAGCAATTGTGAAAATGAGTCATTATCGATGTATGTATGGTCCATAAGCAGAGCAAATTTAAAAAGTATATCACACTGTATTAAAACAAATATCAATATAAAGATGTTTGTTCACGTTCAAACCGTTGATGTATTGCAATGAAAACCATGATCAATAGTAGACCCAGATGGCATTAATATTCTAAAACCGTCATAATGTGTAAATTTGTTAAACTTGAAATCCACTCCATTCAAATATGCGCCCGGCTGATCTTCACTCTGTACGACATTATGTTAATGGTTGATGATATTTCCAATTTCAATAAACATATCAGTGCACTGGTGCCTTATTAATACAGAAATGCATTGTGGACATTTATGATATAAAGGAGAATCTCATAGAACCGTTGGTATGCTCCGGTGAAGAATTCTATTAATTTCGTGCAATTAGCTTTTGGTGCAGAATTTTAATCAAGCATTGCTGGATCGGTAACAGGTTAGTTTATGGGCTACAGAGTTGCCTCCCTAACATGCTCCTGGATTTGACATCTTAGGTTCAGTTTCCTGGTTGTTATCAGTTTTAGCCTTTGGTTTGTCAGTGTCTCAACCGTGCTCATGCTTTCCTCAAAGTAACAAACGTCTCCGGCATCAGTAACATCATCATCAGCAGCAGCATCACTTTATCTTTCCTCTAACATCTCAGTATTGGCATCGACAGAATAGAGCGGCTTTCTATCCACACAAACCGCTATCTGAAGCTGCTTATAACTACGTACATGTACTGCTCCTAAAATAGTACTATTCTAATATAAAAGCTACAAAACCATTCATTAGTCTTAATAAATATTTGCTCAAAACGGCGAGGAAGTATATTTACCCCGCAGTTAACACTAATCTAACAATATCACAGCGGGGGACACCAGACATGGGCGTCACACATTGCACACGTTTTCAGCGTAACGAGCGCACCTTTTAACCATTCGACTACAGCCAATACTTTCGACTTTACAATACATCGGTTTGTGTGTCAACAGTACCTTGAAACAGTATGGAATAGTTTGCAAAATTAAGTTTGCCTGAAGTAAGTGGCTATATTTACACTAGTGAGTCTAAACTATTGAAAGGAAGTATAGTTTCACACGGATCTTGATGCTCACGTATAAATGTACGCAACGCTCCACGGAAAATAAGTTTCTATCAATGCATCAAATTATTTTCCGAAGTCCCATCTGTGTAGTATCTACACGGCTACACGGCATCTTACCGCATCTACAAACTAGCCAGTGATCGATATCATGACGACTATATACAACATTGGGGGATACGACACACATTCTGCCACGCCACATATTTTGTCCATCTGTCAGCAGATAATTCGGACAGCCACTTATAACCCAGATCTATTCTACATTGCTTATAAAGGCATAACGTTGTTGTTTTGCTTACATTAAAACGAATTAAAATTATTTTTAATGTTGTTTTCAGATAGTGTGATAAGCATTGAACACGGTCAGTTCAGCTGGGACAGAGACTCAGACAAAATACTGAAGAAGTAGGTGAAACGTTTCGTAATCGTCTTTATCTATTACGACATTTGTCTTGCCACGCCATTCTTGTTGTCTTGCCACACCATTCTTGTTGTCTTGCCACACCATTCTTGTCTGTGGATTTCAATTTATCTATTTGTTCAATAATTTCTAATCACTTTTATCAGTTTATCTGTTTGCCTTCATCACGTTTTCATGTTTTACCCTTATTATGTCTAATCACTATTATGATTTCTCCGTTTGTCTCTTCGCCTTCACCCGTGAAGGTCCGGGTTAGAATGAACCTTCAGTAACCCATGCTTGTCGTAAGAGGCGACTAACGGGATTGGGTGGTCAGGCTTGCTGGCTTGGTTGACACATATCATCGGTTCCCAATTTCGCAGATCGATGCTCTTGCTGTTCAACACTGGATTTCTGGTCCAGACTCGATTATTTACAGACCGCCGCCATAAAGCTGGAATATTGCTGAGTGCGGCGTAAAACTAAACTCACTCACCCAGTCTTTGCCTTCACCCCTATATTCGTTTCTACTATTTAATTGTGTCTGTCTGCCTTTATCCTGTTTATTCGTCTTTCCTATTTAATTGTTTAATTATTTCTAATCATCTATAACTATTTATATGTCTGTTTTATCCAGGTTAGTTATTTCAACCTAATATCATTCAGTTGTTTCTGATAACAAAATTTGTTCATATATTTGTCTGCTTTTATTCCGTTTATGGATTTATTCATTTGTGTATTAACAGCATTTCCTTCAACGTTAAGAAAGGTCAGCTGATCGCTATTGTGGGTCAGGTTGGAGCAGGGAAGTCGTCCCTGTTGTCGGCGGTACAAGGCGAGATGGAGAAGATCCACGGCGACGTCTGTATGAAGGTAAGCCTTGACGACTAATGTCTCAGCCTTCACGGCGGCTTAGTCTTGGCGTAGTGGTTAAAGCGTTCGTTCGTCACGCCGAAGACCCGGGTTCGATTCCCCACATGGGTACAATGTGTGAAGCCCATTTCTAGTGTCCCCCAATGCACACACCACCACATAACATCAACAATAACATTCTAATTCAAGCAAAAACTCTCCTTTGTATATGAAAATCATATATATTCGATTCTAGTGGTCGCAAATAATGAGTTCGAATCACGGAATACGCGAGTGAATCTTAAATGCCCTTGATTTTATGGACTTAGGTTCTATGGACCCCCTTCACTGTGGGTCAATTCATATCATCGCCAAAACTGCACTTATGTATGTACACACCTCATAACGTTGATATGTTAGAAGTAGGCCTTTGATAACATGTTCTGTTCACTATGCTCTGTGTCTTAAGCACGTCTTGAACTTGCTCTGTTTATAGGGTTCTGTGGCATATGTTCCGCAACAAGCGTGGATGCAGAACCTCTCCTTGCGGAAGAACATTCTGTTTGGAAGTCCATACGAAGAGGCCAAATACCGACACCTCCTCCACGCATGCTCACTGGAGGCTGACCTTGAAGTACTTCCGGGAGGAGAGAACACGGAAATAGGAGAAAAGGTGCTTCCATAATTCCTCGGAAGATTGAAACAAGACAAGCTATAGATAGCTTTAGCTTTCCCTCCCGTGGCAAACTAAGAGAGAAATAATCAAATGCCGTAATTTCCACATAAAATGAATAAACGCCTTTTTTGCTTGCGTCCAAACCTGACGTCAATTGATTGTGAAGCGTTTATCTAGACCTGTCGATATTATCACCATTAACAATATTATACAATTATTATTATTATTATTATTATTAGGGTATCAATCTGAGCGGAGGCCAGAAACAGCGAGTGTCTCTTGCGCGGGCCGTCTACAGCGACAGAGACATCTACCTCCTCGACGACCCCCTTAGCGCCGTTGATTCCCACGTCGGCAAACACATCTTCAGAAACGTGATCGGTAACGAAGGAATTTTGAGAGACAAGGTAGTGTGTCCTCTGCTCGTATCTTTCATGGGCTTTCTTAAGTGTGTAGATTTTTTGTGGTTTCGTGTTTGACGGTAAAAACAATCAAAAACAGTTTCATTCAAATTATGCACAGATGTTGTCTGTGTTTTAGAATTAGCAACTTTCATCCTGTACTAGGGCGCCGTGTTGTATTATCCCCAGTTTAAGTGTCGACAACAAATGCATTAATTTGTAAGTGAGGTGAAGTGAAATTGGTTTTGACGTCGTGCTTAAGAATATTTCGCTCATATGACGACGTGCATGCGTGTGTATGTGTGGCTGCTTGTACTAGCCCAGACTGAAGGTGGTTTTATAGTGCTAGCCCACTGAGATACCATGCCGCAGTGAAGCATGAATACCCCACTCAGACACATTATACTGACTCCGAGCCGACCAGTCCTTGTTGTACCCATTAATGCCGAGTGCCAGGCAGGGACCAACAAGTACCATATTTTAACGTCTTTTGGTATGACGCGGCCGGGGATCGAACCCGCGACCTTCCGCTCTCCGGGCGGACGCTCTTTACTTTAAGTGGATACGTAACAAAACTGTCGGACATACGCCTACAGGCTGATAATAATAGAGTGAGTGAGTGAGTTTAGTTTTACGCAGCACTCAGCAATAGTGCAGCGGTCTGTAAATAATCGAGTCTGGACCAGACAATTCAGTGATCAACAGCATGAGCATCGATCTACGCCACTGGGATACGATGGCATGTGTCAACCAAGTCAGCGAGCCTGACCACCCGATCCCGTTAGTCGTCTCTTGGGTTACTGAAGATCAGATTTAACCCGATCTTCACGGGTCTGATAATAATGTAATCTGCAATGCGTGGAAGTTACTAATCTATAGCATTATGGAATCCTCTTCTGCAGACTAGGGTTCTGGTAACCCACGGAATTCATTGGCTGCCTTTGGTTGACGTCATAGTGGTCATGGATCAAGGGGAGATAAGCGAGGTTGGCTCATACGAGGAACTTTTGGACCACGACGGTGCTTTCGCCCAGTTCCTGAAAGCATATCTGTTGGAGGGAACCCAAGATGTGGGGGAGGACGATGAATGTATGTATAAAGGGATGCTGGGATGGCTTTGAAAAAATAACGTGTGAAAACTGAATGTGATGTTATGAATATGCCATTAAAACTGTGTTGTAAGAAATAGAACGTTTCGGATAATGCTGTTACAGACAAATAATGGTATGTTTTGAAGCAGTGATAGAAAACATATCCTGTCTCAAATATATAGAATTAAATATAGGGTAAATAATCATTGATTGAAATGATTGAAACCGAATGAAAGTTTGCTTGAACTAAGCTTAGGACTCCTGTGGTATCGTCAGCTCAAATTTTGAGGAAAGCCCGAAAAGGTGACACTTTTACACAATCACTGACTGACTGACTGAGTTTGGTTTTACCCCGCTTTTAGCAATATTCCAGCAACATCACGGCGGTTACACAATCACCACTTCGATAAGACCTTGAATGGGTTATGGTGCTGACTTTGGAAACGTAATAAAGGCGAATCTGGTACACGAACCAACGACCATAGGATCCGTGTTTGCCTAAGGGACGTAACTCCGCATAGTGAGCGGCGCCTTTCATGACTTTTCTTACTACATGCGCAGCATTAGAACAACCGTGGTAGAGATGATGTGTGCGGGTTCAATACTTACTTGGGGGATTAAATTTGAATATTACTTCTGTTCTGTAGAATAGTCGGGAAGATTCAGATACATATATAAGAAACAGTACACATGTAGTGAAGCGTCTTGTTGAACCTTCCAGTACAAAAGATCCGGGCGAAGATACTCGAGAGAGTCGACTCTGTGACCTCTATAGGAAAATCACCGCACTTCAGCCCGCTGGCTTCCAGTCTCAACTCTCATTCCATGTCGTCACTTCCGGCAACTTCTCTGGACAGAGATATCAGCCTGCAAAGGTCTACAAGGTAAGAGGTAAGGGAAGCATTGTCTTCCCGGATAACAGGATGAAGCTCTCAAAATGGAACTTTGCTCGGATGTTTTGAGATTTGACCACTGGCCTAATGAGCCAGAACACGGTTTTTTTTAGTTCCATTTCTTGGCCTCTACAGTCGTTTGTCTAGACCAAAAAAGGGCAGTTGGGTAGTCTAGTGGTGAAAGTGTTTGCACGTCACGCCGAAGACCCGGGTTCGATTCCCTACATGGGTACAATGTGTGAAGCTCATTCTGGTGTCCCCCGCTGATACGATACAGTCAGCATCATCCAAGCTCGTGATTTCATGACAATGTTGACCTCTCATACATAACCTGAAACAAAATTAATCAATATAATATATATACCACGCTATAATCCTTTGGCAAGTCTCTGTCGCTTGAATTTCGATAAAGTTTCCATTATAATCCGTCAGGCTATGACGTGTACACATGCTTTTGACTAGCAATGAAACAAACAAATGTGTATTCGATGATGATGATGATGATAATGGTGAGGAGGAGGAGGGGGATGTATTTGATAAATGTATTGTAGTTGTGTTTGTACCTGTATATCGTATCCCTTGGACGCGACTTAAAACCATATTCCATCTCACCTTATCTCACCCCACCATCTCCCATCTCACCCTACCTCACCTCGGTTGTATTACAGTCATCATTTGGATATATATTTCAGTGTCCTCACTGAAGAAAACGATGGCCCGAATGAGGAGCCGGGGGCATCTGATGCCGATGAAAAAGAGGAGGATGAAAAAGAGCACAGACTCACAGATGATGAGAAATACGAGATAGGCAGGGTTAGCGTCATCTAAGGCTAAATAAGGACTTAATCCAATCCTAATATTGGACAAGACTATTTCGAAAATGGGCTATGTTTAGATGGTTGGATTGGATTTGTTGTTTATGTCACACTTCAAGCTGGCAGTGAGCGGTTTTTTCAGAGATGTTGTAAAAGAAATTGAATATACATATAGAGTAAACCACGTTTACAACACACACGCATATAACGAACTGATGGATATACCGAACTGATGGATATAACGAACTAGTCCCGGACACTTACTGTATATATTAGTCGAAATGCACATTACTTACTTAGTCTTATTACGAACACAAATTATAGTCCCATTCAGTTCGTTTTAACCGGGTCCGGTGGGGTAGCCTAGTGGTTAAAGCGTTGACTCGTCACGTCGAAGACCCGGGTTCGAATCACCACATGGGTACGATGTGTGAAGCCCATTTCTGGTGTCCCCCGCAATGATGTTGCTGGAATATTGATAAAATCGGCGTAAAACAAAACTCAGTCAGTCAGTCAGTCGTTTTAATTGTACTTCACAGTAATTTCCTTCTTGCAGGTGAAGTTCTCCGTCCTCAAATCCTACTTCCGGGCTCTGGGTGTGTTTGCAGCCGTCCTTATCTTCTTTCTCCTCTTCATCTTCCAAATCAGCAGCATCCTCACCAACGTGTGGCTCAGCATCTGGACCGACGATCCCAATCTGAGGAACATCTCCTTCTCCGCCAACGCCACGCAGGTGGACCTGTCAGCGCTCTCCTACTATTACCTTGGGATATATTGCTGCCTCTCATTGGCTCAAGGTAAGTCACGAAAATAAATTGTGGAACATAAATTATACGGAAATAGGCATTCTAAATTATTCAGTGCATTATATACAGTTCGGTGACTATTACTCTACACCAATTCACTAACTGAACCTCTTGCCATGTCCCAATTTTGTAATGGAAGTTCTCGCACATGAGTATTAGCGCGTTAACTATATAGGGCCTGTAAGTTTCGCAAGGCGCTTCTTCCGGTACTAAACTAGTTCCCGGCTCCCCTTGCGCTTACTTCCGGCACCAGATTTCCGGTGACAAGCCTATATTAAAGAACCAGTTCTGGTTCCAAATTGCGTGACCGCCAAATAAGACTTTACTGGACCGGACCAAGTGCACAACCATGTTTGGCTGTCACAGCTGTTGACAGTCGTAATAGTTGGATAATTTTGGGATAGTTTGATCGGAAATTTGTTTTTCCTGCAATGATTATCTGACAACCATAAGACCATTCGAAAAGGTATGAAACGTTGTCACTTCTATGGTCTCGCAAAGCCTTATAATGACCAGCATGTGTGGCTGTTTGTAGTCGTGGTAGTGAGTTTTACTGTAAATAATTGAGCCTGGAACAGACAATCCAGTGATCAACAACATGAACATCAATATACGATCTATCCAAGTCAGCGAGCCTGACCACCCGATCCCGTTTGTCGCCTCTTACGACAAGCATGGGTTACTGAAGATCAATTCTAACCCGGATCTTCACGGGTCTGTGGCTGTTTGTGCCAGTCATGCCTTTGGACTGCTTTGTAATGCTCAAAGGAGATACCGTGTCACGGCTATACATGGATACCTTTTCACACAGCGCACACTGAACCAGCCAGTCCTTGTTTTTCCCCTTGGTGATGAGTACCACACAGGGTAACTTAAGCTTAAACTGGCTCACGACTCCCCTTGCGCGTCGAAAACTTGCGTCAAAGTATATTGCGTATACAGCGACATAAGAGACGGGACCCAGCCATGCCCAAGCAAGTTCCATTGGTCTAACCATAAGATATGTGTGATGTGACATTGAGATGCATGTGTTATGACAATGAAATGGATGTGTCATGACAATGAAATGGATGTATCATGACAATGATATGGATGTGTCATGACAGTGATATGGATGTGTCATGACAGTGATATGGATGTGTCATAACAATGGGATGGATGTGTCATGACGATAAGACATATGTGTCAATTAGATTGATATGATATAAGAGTGAGACATGTGATATGACAATTATACACTTGTAACTTGGCAGAAAGATGCATATGTCATGATGACATGACTTATAACAAAGATGACGCATCGGTCGAGAGAACACTGATCTATATATGAAAATAGTGGCGTCAGTCTCCAGATCCAGGAGCATCCAGGCAAAATGAAGCATTGTTCGGGGATCCATTTGAGTTATATTTTGTAGTTTGCCTGAGCATATTCATATATAATTGAAATTGTAGGACTTAACGCTAGTCTGTGGGGACGTATGAATCATCATATTAATTATAAAACACACAGTTACCATATATTTGCTCCAACAATCACGCTATATGTAATGGTAAAAATATTTCCGCCGTTGCAGCATTCCTCGTCATGTTGTACGTCATGGTGACGTACCGGAAGATGGTCCGTGCCGCAAGCATCATGCACAGAGATCTCCTTGACAACATCCTCAGGCAGTCGATGACCTTCTTCGACACCACGCCCACCGGTCGAATATTGAACCGCTTTACTCGAGACGTCGACATCGTGGACAACCAGTTGCCCCGTATAACTCGACAATTTTTGGCGACGCTGTTCAACGTCTTCAGCGTCCTCATTGTCATCGCTTACAGCACGCCCTTGTTCTTGGCAGCGGCTATACCGACATTGCTGGTGTACTTCTTCGTGCAGGTAAGCACGTCACATTCTTCAGAAGTATGTCGGGATCGCCTCCATAGTGGAGTGGGTAGCCCGAGAGAGCAACGTTGGTGGTTCCAATGTCGACTGCGTCCAATCCGCTGAACCGGAAGCTGGCAGGGGTAATGGAGGCGAAGAACGATTTGATATGCCACGAGTGGCGCTTAAAATGTTGAAAGAAATATATTTTACGTGAGTAATTATCAAATATGAGATTGTAAATTTGAGAGCACAACCCTGTGAGGAAATGGGTGTTAACCTTTGATGGTGGGGATATTTTATTTGGACATTAAAATTATTTTTCGAACCGAAGCGAGGTAAGCACGTTGCCAACATGTCAGCTTGCTGACGGGCTTAAGCCCTTTGGATCAGAAGGGTCGGAAATTTTATGGCCGCAACATTGGCGCGTTCAACGTGGTTCTGAGGACATTCATATGACAATTGGGCTTTAGTAGAGTATTTGACCGGCATTCATTTGGACAAGTACAACCATTGCTTCTCACAAGCGAGCGCAGGCCGATATATACCTGTGCTGAATTGCAAGTGAATCACACGATCCTGCCATTCTTGTCTTTCCGGTAAAAACCGAAGTATCACGCATATTTCTAAGTCCTCTTAGGCTATGCAACTTGCAGCGCAGGAGAGTTGCGTTCCTTTGGTGTGCCAGGATCTTTTGTTCGTGGTTTGATTTCTCTCCCACTCACTCCCTTCCTCTCATGTTACAGGGGAGTTGATTGAGTAGCCCAGTGGTAAAAGCGTTCGCTTTAATACCAGGATCCCCTACGATACATTCCGTTCATAAGTTTTTGAAAATGCTGCTCTTAACATGCTTAATCATTTTAATGTTTACTTGTTAGAAGCAAGTGGGGAAGCCTAGTGGTTAAAGCGTTCGCTCGTCACGCCGAAGAACCGGGTTCGATTCCCCACATGGGTACAATGTGTGAAGCCTATTTCTGGTGTCCCCTGCCGTGATACTGCTGGAATATTGTTAAAAGCGGTGTAAAACCAAACTCACACACTCTTTTGTTACAGAGGATGTACATTCCTACATCCCGTCAGATCCGGCGTTACCACTCCACCGCCCGCTCCCCCATCTACTCCCACTTCACCGAGACCATCACCGGCGCCAGCTCCATCAGAGCTTACGACGCCGTCGACCGTTTCTGTGAAGAGTCCCTGAAGCGAGTCGACAAAAGTAACATCTTTTACTATGCCTCGCTTGCGGCAATGAGGTACGAGATGTATTTGTTTTTTAAGACAGCTCCTAGTAATATGCATGTAATTTATTGTTCAGTGGAAAATAATGCATACAAAAATACAGTCCGCCATATCATAGAGATGAAATATTACTCACAACAAACAAATAACATTTGCCTGGATGACAAGATAATATGGTTTGTTCCAGGTGGATGAGAATGCGACTCGAATTTCTAGGAAACATCATCATCCTCAGTGCCGCCATTTTCGCCGTCGTCACGCCAGGGCTGTCTGGCGGAATAGTCGGCCTTTCAGTCTCCTATGCTCTTCAGGTAATAATAATGAAATATGAAATGTCTCGCTTGCATCCCAAGAACACTGTAGTCAGGCTCCCCTTTGTCCTCGGTTCCCTTAGTTTGGTACCTCTTGATCTCTTAGCGCAGATCACGAGAGTACCCGGGTACAGCCCTTCTGACACTTGGGAGTCTACACATTCTTCGGAAAGTTCTTGGTGGGTTAAGATAGGCAGCGTTTCCTGGGGAAACGTCCCTTTCGCTGTCTGGGCCGGGTGTGGAGTGGGCAAGGGCCCTGAACTGATTATGAGCCTTATCGGCCTGACTGTGCCAGGATCACCCGAACCCTCTCTGCTGCATTTTTCATCTTAATAGGTAAACCATAATTAAAATGAATATTTTGTTTCTCCAACTTCTCTATGTGGCATTTAGATGCTGGTATAATAAAGAGGAATAATCTTTATGGATCATTCCTTTTCATTGTTTCTCCAAGTCAGCCTCACGGTTCAGGGTAGTCCAGTGGGTCGGACTTTCGCTTGTTGCGCGGGTTTGATTCTGGTTTTATTTTAAAGTGCGATGAGTATTTCTGGTATAACCCTCCGTGACATAGCTGGAGTTTACTGAAAGTACTAAACTCGCTTATTATACGTGCTGACAGTAACACATGTCATGATTTAGTAAAATTAAGCGACCTTATTGTTAGCCTTTGTATTCATGTTAGACACTACAGATCCGGGTTAGAACTGATCTTCAGCAAACCATGCTTCGAATGAGGCGACTAACGGGATCAGGTGGTCATGCTTGCTGACTTGGTTGCCACATGTCATCGTATCCCAATTGCGTAGATCGATGCCCACGGTGTTGATCACTGGATTGTATGGTCCAGGGCCCTGTTCCTCAAAGCGATCGTAGCGCTACGACTGTCGTAAGTCTATGCTTTGAGGAACGGGGCCCTGACTCGTTTATTTACAGACCACCGCCATATAGCTAGAATATTGCTGAGTGCGTCGAAAACAAAAAAAACAAACCCAAAAATCTCATGTGGATATATTTTGATCAGATTACCGGGACGCTGATCACCATGGTGCAGATCACCACCGAGCTGGAGACCAACGTGGTGTCCGTCGAGAGGATGGTGGAGTACAGTGAGATTCCTCGCGAGGTGGGTACATTTGTTTTAACATATAGTATGACCAGAAATTATTGAGAATTCTAGGAATATGTTTAATTGGATTTCTAGTATAATCAACCTTGACCAGCTAGCTATCAAGTGTTTGGTTTCATTCAAGAGAGACAACTCCGTTAATTTTTAACATTAGTTTGTGAAGATTTATCCTCCTTTGTTTACTTGCTAGCAGAGGACATTTTCAGTGATCCTGAGTATGGATGATTTAGAGAAGAGGAAGTTGATTTTAGAGTGTTATAAAAAGGACATCAGATCAGCTAAAGTGATTTCAAGTAGAACAGGCATCCCTTTGTCCACTGTTTATCGTGTTTTGAAAAAAATTGCAAATGGATATGGCACTGAGCACCAGGGAGGCGCAGGTAGGCCCAGAAAAGTGACTGTCGGTAACAGCAGGCGGCTTGGTATTCTTGTTTCTAAAAACAAACGAAGGAGTTTAGAAAACTTAAGCCTGGATATGATTGATAGAGGAACTGTGACTGTCTCTAAGATGACAATTAGAACTGAGCTGCATGCAATGGGTTGGCAGAAAAGTCGAGTTATTCCATCACCGATCATGAAACCTGAACAAAGGTTGAACTTGTTGAACTTGTGTTTACAGCATAGAAATTTTAACTGGGACCGTGTGATTGTCTCAGATGAAAGTCCTGTGTGGCTAATTCCTAATACACTGAAGGCTGGACCAAACAAACTGAAAAACCTTTGTCTCAGCGCCCAAAGTACAGTCCGACATTTAACGTGTTGGGTGGCATATCTGTGTTAGGGGCAACGCCCCTCTGTGTATTTGAAGGGAATATGGACAGTGAGCGGTACACAGATATTCTCGTGGGACATTTACTTCCATGTGCTCACGTGTTCTATGGACATTTTGGATTTTCCAGTAGGTCAACGACCCAAAACATCGTTCAAAGCATTCACAGGCCTGGTTTCGGACCCAAAGTATGACATTATTAGATTGGCCAAGCTATAGCCCTGACCTAAATCCAATAGAAAATGTTTTGGGACTTATGAAGGAAAGTGTCAATAAGAAAAATCTGACAAATATTGCTGAAATGAAAGAAGAGGTGGTCCGATATTGGGACAGCATGGACCACGACTTTCTAACTTCTTTGATCAGTAGTATACCACGCCGCATTGAAGCCTGCATTGCTGCCCATGGTGACTTGACAAAATACTAACTGTTCACCTGTCTTTGAATCTGGAGTTATGTTCTGCTAATATTCACATTTAATACGTGAGTAATGAGTGAAAAAAATAATAAAAATTACAATCTTAACTTCTCAGTAATTTCTGGTTGTACTGTAGATGATGGGGAAGTGGTTAGAGCGTTCGCTTGTCCCGCCAAAATCCCGGGTTCAACTTCCCACATGGGTACAATGACGATTTCTTGTGTCCTCCGCCGTGATGTTCGTGGAATATTACTTAAAGTGGGATGTAAACCTACTCAAGTAAAACTGGATTATCGGCTCCAGTTGATGGTCACGTGACACAGTGTACGCTCGAGAACTAAATGACTTTTGTGATCAAATACAGGAATGTACCGATAGGTACATAATTGTCATGGCTTAGAAGATAAATACACTGTTTGCAGATAGTTTATTCAGCCACGGGGCGGTGGGATAGCCCCGTACGCTCGTCACGCCGATGACCCTGGTTCGATTCCCCACATGGGTACAATGTGTGAAGCCCATTTCTGGTGTCCCCCGCCGTGATATTGATTCAATATTGCTAAAAGCGGCGTTAAATTAAACTCATTCGCTCACTCACAAATTCAACCACATGTCAAAACTGCAACATGTTACTTCAAACTGTCACACACTACAGCAGTGATTACAAAATCGTGCCATTCTTCTTCTTAGGATTTGAACCAATGTTTTGCAACTTCAGTGTGTTCTTTTCATGTGTACCAAAAATATAATCACGTGATCATGTTTTGATAATACAACAGTCTCAAGGTTAAACTTAAAACATATGTCAAAGTACATCCGTAATTCCTTTTTAAGGCATTGTCTCGTACGTACATATCCTCGAATAGAATGTAAAACACATCTTTATGAAAACGTGTTTGACATTAATACATATTGTTTTTCAGAAAAATACATGAGGGTTTATTGATGCTAAACATAGACACAAAACATCAGCTGGATATTTTTGGAAAATTCCTAAAAGTTTCAGATTTCCACCTGACCTAATCACAATAACCATTGTATAATATCTTGCACAACAAGTCAGAACGTGCAAACATTAACGTGTGTCTCCATCTCATAGGCGGCCTGGACTGTCCCGGATAAGAAGCCGCCTGCTGATTGGCCAACTGAAGGAGAGGTCAAGTTTGATGACCTTCAGGTCAGGTACCGACCTGAACTTGACCTTGTTCTGAAGGGTATCAACTGCAGAATTAAGCCAGGCGAAAAGGTACACCATTACAAAACTGTTCTTTATCTCAAGCACTGAAGACTTTCAAAGATAGATAGAGTGCTTAAAAGAGAAATAGTTTCTGGGAATTCTTTGTATTTGTCAAGTTGTGGTGTTACTGACATGATCAATATTGTTGTAATTTGTTATTATACGAACATATTTTACCGCAATTGTTTTTATATAATGAAAACAAGTAAAGAAGGCGTCTTGGCGTACTGCTGACATTATTCAGATATTGAAGACCAAAACTTTAGGGGTAGTCACAGTCGTTCAGTCGTTGAAGCAGGAATTTGACTTACAGAGTTGCTTCATCTCGAAATGCCAGAATCCTATGATCGTGGGTTCAGATGGAAGATTCTCTCTTACCATGATCCTTCCAGCTCTCGATCTTTTCATTAAAATGGAAATATGTGAGACAAACACAACCTTGCATCCCTTAAATCTGAGATGCCATAATATAACTAAAATACTGTTCGACGTAATAAAACCCGCCTCACTCACTTATCAATATGATATTGATAAAAGCGGCATAAAACTAAACTCACTCACCCTGTATGACCTGTATTTAACAGATAGGCGTTGTCGGACGTACTGGCGCGGGGAAGTCGTCACTGACGCTGGCTTTGTTTCGCATTGTGGAAACCGCAGGTGGCAAGATTTTGATAGATGGTCACAACATCGCCGACATGGGTCTCCATGACCTTAGAAGTCGACTTACAATTCTTCCACAGGTGCGTATCAACATTTAAAACACATATGGTTATAAATCACCCAGTTGATACAAATGGTGTATGAACTCGTCCAAATATTACTTTACGTGTCACCGATGTATATTACGTCATTCGTAAGGTCACGACACTTCGCGAGAACATAGTACTTACGGTGACAAACAACGTTTCATGCCTTTTCGAATGGTCTCATGGTTGTCAGTTGACAGTATAGAACCAACATTTCTTGCAGGAATAACAAATTTTCGATCTTACTTCCCCCAAATCAGCCAACTATTACGACTGTCAACAGCTGTGACAGCCAAGCATGGTTGTACACTTGGTCCGGTCTAGTAAAATCAATATTGGCAGTCAATTTGGAACCAAAACTGGGTCCTTATTCTCGAACGTTCGTAGCCCTAAGAATTCTTAACTTTGATTGAAGCCAATGTGTTAAGAATGGGCTGAAAAAGTTTGTAGGGCTACGAACGTTTCGCAAAATAGCTAGCCTGGGTCCCGATCCACAAAGTGTTCGTAGCGCTACGACATTCGTAAGTCTATGATAAACTATAGAAGTACGACAGGTCGTAACGTTACGAACGCTTTGTGGATCGGGGCCCTGGTTCTTTAGTATACGCTTGTCACCGGAAACCGGGTATCGGAAGCAAGCTGGGTCCGTCTCGCATATTGCCAGTTGGCTTGCGCAAAGGGAGCCAGGAACCAGTTTAGAACCGGAAATAGCGCCTGTAGACTTAGAGAACCTATTGATGTTAAGGTAGAAATGTACTTAACTCCCAGGGGCGTAGCTACCATTGTAAAAAAAAGCCCGGGCTTACACATGAGTGTTGCTGAAAAGGTTCGGCAAGCCCTCAATACTATCTAAATCTAAAGCTTTGCAACATATCCGGCTTACACGAAACAATTGGCTTGCTGCTCCTCACTCCTGACAGAGAATCCGTGTTACCTCTTGGCTTTTGGGATCTATCTAAATATGTGTCACATATATATGTGTCATGTAGTCAGACATGCATATCCATAGGAATTTTCAGGGGGTGGCATTAACTTCAATGTGGTCTTTACTCATTTTCAAAATTTTCAAAAGCGGAGGCTCCGAACCCCCTGAACACCATCGCCCACTTTGGATCCGCCAATGAATATCATGTTGGTCAGACGTAAATTTCATGTAGGTCAGTCATGTGTCATGTGGTCCGGTGTCTTTGTCAGTTGGGTCGGACATGTGGGTCATGTGGATCAGACATTTATATCAGGTGTGTCAGACATATGTGTCATTTGGGTTAGACATGTGTCGTTTGGAGCACACATTTATGACATATTGGTAACATATCCGTCTAGAATTTTACGTAGCTTAAATAACGATTTCGGAGTGGAATTAATTGTATTTTACATTATTACCGACATTTTGATTGTCTTTCCAACAATATACAAATATTTAATTACAATCTCAATGTTGTTTTCTTCAACGAATAAGTTTTATGTTAGGCCCAGTCGGCAATTTGCAAATACATAACCGCTGTAATCTTAAGCCAGTGCCGAATATATATGTATATTATAGTTATCAAATGGTTACAGTACCAAATGCTACGGTTAACGAATTTATATATGCCATTGTTACGCCTATAATATCTGGGACATACATAACATTATCGGGGACCTGTCACCGACAGCTGCGGTGCGAAATCGACACGTATTTTCATTGTAAGTAGCTCTGACTGAAGCCAGGTGTCACAATTTGCATATTCTGCACGTGCAGGGATAGACAACCGTGGCCATAGCTATTTGGAAAGGAAAGGGTGCATTTGAGATTTGGCTTCAGTATAAGATGCGGTTGGATGGCCAAGTGGTTTTCCTGTTCCTCGTCACGAAAAAGTCATGGGTTTGATTCCCAACATAGGTGAAATGAGTCAAGAATTGGGTGTTGTTGTTTATCAACACACAGCAATATTCCAGCAACATGGTGGCGGTCTGTAAATAATCGAGTCTGGACCAGACAATCCAGTGATCAACAGCATGATCATTGATTTACGCAACCGGGATACGATGACATGTTAACCAAGTCAGCGAGCCTGACCACCCGATCCCGTTAGTCGCCTCTTAGTCTCTTACAACACGCATGGGTTACTGAACATCAGGCCCCGATTTCTGGAAAAAAACTTAGGTTTTTACTCAAATTTCAAAGTGAGTTTGACAATTTGAAACAGCTGAATTTTAAACTCATCTGCATATTTAAAATAAAAAGCCCAAACAACTTAAATGATCTATCTACCAAACTCAAATTGTCTACTATGTTTGAGTTTATTATCGATTTCCGTTCATTCTGGGAAATGCATTTTCTCAAATTTGAGTAAAAACTCTACCTTAAGTCAACACTTAAAAACAGCGAAGACTATGGCTATGGAAGCTGTGTAATGAATTCGGTTTCACTAAACATGTCAACGAGATGACATCTTACAATAATGTCGAAAACATCAAACCATTTTTTCATAGAGAACTGATGACAGCGATGCTTCCGTTGCAGGATCCGGTGCTATTTTCCGACACCATGAGGTTGAACCTTGACCCATTCCAGGAGCACACTGACAGCGAGCTGTGGGTCGCCCTGGAGAGAGCCCATCTGAAGGAGTTTGTGTCTTCAGTCCCCAAGGGCCTTCAACATGAATGTGATGAGGGGGGACAGAACCTCAGGTAACACAAAACTTACTCACAGAACGTGAGGTAACACAGAACATACTCACAGAACATGAGGTAACACAGAGCATATTCACAGAACATATCTTAGGTAACAGGGGGCGTGGTGAACGAGCTGTCTAAGGCGCCAGGCTAGTGATACAGAGAGCTTAAGGTGCCAGGATCAAGCCCACCTGTGATCGGGTGTTAAAACCTTGCAGTCAATTTTGTGTGCACAGTCGTTCAGTGTTGTCACAACCTGGTGTACAGTACACAACCCTGTGCACTTAAAAGAACCCTCGAATCCGTTGGTAAATGACCAGATAGTGGCCACATGAATACGTGCAAACACCAAGTTGGGGGTACAGCAAAGTGTAAAAATGAGTCCCAGTCCACCCAGCTGTGAATGGATACCTTGAAAGGGTGGGAAAGCCACACTAAATGGCTGTATGAGTTGTATGATCCGCAGGGAGTTGAGATTGAAAAATATGATTTGCAGTTGAGAATGACATCCAATGATCGAGGTAAAAACAAAGCGCCTTTGAGCAACTGAGCTGAGCTAGATATTGGCGCTATACATATATCATATAATAATGTAAAAAATAATAGTAACACAGAGCATACGCACACAACCTGAGGTAGCACAGACAATACTCACAGAACCTGAGGTAACACTGAGCATACTCACAGAACCTGAGGTAACACAGACCATACTCACAGAACATGAGATAACACAGAGCATACTCACAGAACATGAGATAACACATAGCATACTCACAGAACATGAGATAACACAGAGCATACTCACAGAACATGAGATAACACAGAGCATACTCACAGAACATGAGATAACACAGAGCATACTCACAGAACATGAGATAACACATACAATACTCACAGAACCTGAGGTAACACAGAGCATACTCACAGAACATGAGATAACACAGAGCATACTCACAGAACCTGAGGTAACACAGACCATACTCACAGAACATGAGATAACATAGAGCATACTCACAGAACCTGAGATAACACAGAGCATACTCACAGAACAGAGCATACTCACAGAACATGAGATAACACAGAGCATACTCACAGAACATTAGATAACACTGAGCATACTCACAGAACCTGAGGTAACACAGACAATACTCACAGAACCTGAGGTAACACAGAGCATACTCACAGAGCATGAGATAACACAGAGCATACTCACAGAACATGAGATAACACAGACAATACTCACAGAACCTGAGGTAACACAGAGCATACTCACAGAACCTGAGATAACACAGAGCATACTCACAGAACCTGAGATAACACAGAGCATACTCACAGAACCTGAGGTAACACAGAGCATACTCACAGAACCTGAGAGAACACAGAGAGCATACTCACAGAACCTGAGGTAACACAGAGCATACTCACAGAACATGAGATAACACAGAGCATACTCACAGAACATGAGATAACACAGAGCATACTCACAGAACCTGAGGTAACACAGAGCATACTCACAGAACCTGAGGTAACACAGAGCATACTCACAGAACATGAGATAACACAGAGCATACTCACAGAACCTGAGGTAACACAGAGCATACTCACAGAACCTGAGATAACACAGAGCATACTCACAGAACATGAGATAACACAGACAGGTAACACAGCATACACAGAACATGACCTGAGGTAACACAGAGCATACTCACAGAGACATGAGATAACACAGAGCATACTCACAGAACATTAGATAACACAGACAATACTCACAGAACCTGAGGTAACACAGAGCATACTCACAGAACCTGAGGTAACACAGAGCATACTCACAGAACATGAGATAACACAGAGCATACTCACAGAACATGAGGTAACACAGAGCATACTCACAGAACATGAGATAACACAGAGCATACTCACAGAACCTGAGGTAACACAGAGCATACTCACAGAACCCGAGGTAACACAGAGCATACTCACAGAACCTGAGGTAACACAGGCCATACTAACAGAACCTGAGGTAACACAGACCATACTCACAGAACCTGAGGTAACACAGAGCATACTCACAGAAGCTGAGGTGACACAGACAATACTCACAGAACCTGAGGTAACACAGAGCATACCCACAAAACCTGAGGTAACACAGAGCATACGCACAGAACATGAGATCACAGAGCATACTCACAGAACATGAGATAACAGAGCATACCCATAGAACCTGAGGTAACACAGAGCATACTCACAGAACCTGAGGTAACACAGAGCATACTCACAGAACATGAGATAACACAGAGCATACTCACAGAACCTGAGGTAACACAGAGCATACTCACAAAACCTGAGGTAACACAGAGCATACTCACAGAACATGAGATAACAGAGCATACTCACAGAACCCGAGGTAACACAGAGCATACTCACAGAACCTGAGGTAACACAGAGCATACTAACAGAACATGAGATAACAGCATACTCACAGAACCTGAGGTAACAGATCATACCCACAGAACCTGAGGTAACACAGAGCATACTCACAGAACCTGAGGTAACACAGAGCAAACCCGCAGAACCTGAGGTAACACAGAGCATACTCACAGAACCTGAGATAACAGAGCATACTCACAGATCCTGAGGTAACACAGAGCACACTTACAGAACCTGAGGTAACACAGAGCATACTCACAGAACCTGAGGTAACACAGAGCATACGCACACAACCTGAAGTAAAACAACTCTGAGGGTCACGGTAGAACATGTTGATAATCAAATTATTATTTTTTCCTCCTAGTGTCGGGCAGCGTCAGCTGGTGTGTTTGGCCCGCAGTTTGTTGAGGAAGACCAAGATCCTGGTTCTTGATGAAGCCACGGCCGCCGTCGACATGGAAACTGACGAACTCATCCAGAAGACCATCCGCTCTGCCTTCCATGACTGCACTGTTCTCACCATAGCTCACAGACTCAACACCATCATGGACTACGACAGGTGAGTTAGGCAGCAGGGGATTGGGCCTGGATCAGACAAACCAGGGGTCGATAGTAGATCAACGATCCACAAAGTCAGGAAGAGAATTACTTTCATCATCATCAATTTGAGTGAGTGAGTGAGTATGGTTTTACACCACATTTAGCAATATTCAAGCAATGTCATGGAGGGGAACAACAGAAATGAACTTTACACACCTATGTGAATAATCGAACCACTTCGGGGTGACGAGCGAACGCGTTAACCACTAAGCTACCCAACCGCCCCAATTATCATTGGCAGTAGCAGTAGTGGTTGTTGTAGTAGTAGTATATAGTGATGTCAACTTAAATGTTTTTGCCGCAAACAAGCGAAACGGTTTTCTTACAGTCGATGGTGTCATTTAAAGTACCGTTTAATGAGACACAACTGCAATCATCCTCGTCCACAAATCGAGGGGCAATTTAGTTGGGACTTATTTCTGAAGATATCTGTATCTGTATCTCACTGTCACAAAACATACTTAATCTCATGTTGTTTTCCCACATTTTCAGAATAATGGTGTTGGCGGCAGGACAGATTGTAGAGTTCGATTCACCCTCAGTTCTGCTGGAAGATAAGGCCGGGGTTTTTCATGGTCTGGCGAAAGATGCCAACCTTGTCAGCTGATGTTGACCCCCACCATGGAGAGATCACCTGCATAGAATCAGTTCCATATTGATATAATTACCATATCGTTGATATTCAACGACGTCCTTGTTGATTGGTGTGAATGAATGTGCATCTTGACAACATATATGTATTGTTGTATACCGGTGGGTAGAAATAGCGGAATATTTTACTTGTTCAATGAATAAGATGATGATGAAGTAAATCACCTATATTTTGCATGATGGCGTGATTTTGGGGGATATGTTTGGATGTTGATTTGTCAAGATCATTGCTAGTTTGATTTAGATAACATTCATTGTTACAATTAAACTACCTCGTATGCGTTGCGTTTAAAATCCACTGTCACCGGTCTGTTCAGTGTGGGGCTATACATTGACCTCTGTATGTTTTCAACATTAACACTTGATATATACTTGTTATATTTGCCACGTGTAAAACTATTTACAGAGTCATCTCCTTCTCATGTGGTATTATAAGTTGTTCACTGGTCACAAGGGGGACATAGGTTGATGGCTTTACACATTGCACCAATGGGTTGATGTACCCTCCCTGTTTGTTTATGTTCCCTGAGCAAAAGGTGCATCAACCTATGGGCCACCAGGGACCAGTGAACAAGGTATTTATCTTGACGAACACATCAATGTTAAGTTTAAACTAATTGGAGCACGCATATTGGATCGTAATAAGGAGTACCAGGGTTAGGCAATTAGCCAATACCGACGACAGACAAGAAAAACAAATTAAGCGTTATCTCCCTTCCATCGATTTGCATTCGCAAAACATCGGTAATTTCCGTACATCATACGTGACTCAATTATTCGAGGTAAAGAATTACTACATAACCCGAAGCACCAAATGAATTCCCAAAGTTCGGCATCCCAGCGGGGTAAAATTGAAAATGGAAGCGGGGTACATTGAAAATAATAGAGGAGAGATCAGCCAATGAGAAAACAACATTTATGTGTGAGGTAAGATAAAATTATTTATTTCCCAACATTTGGATTCTTTCCTGGTCTTGTTGATATTTCTGTGTTGTATGTTATTTTTAGTTTAATAGTGTCATTGTTAAAGAAAATCCAGAGCTTTGTTATCGATTTTGATAGTGTGTACATGTTTAACCACTTCCAGTGTGCGAAATAGTTTCCACATTTTGCAGCGAGTCATTTCACACCATACATTCACTACAATGCCGAGATGAACAGCAGGAGAGGGCCATTGGAATGCTGCAGACTGGGTCGACTGATCGGGAAGTGGCTGCTGCATTCGGGTGTCATCGCCTCACCATTCTAAGGCTGCGTCAGCGATTCCAGAATACTGGCACAACTAGAGACAGACCCAGAAGCGGGAGGCCACCAGTTACAACCACTTCCCGATAAGTCGACCCAGTCTGCAGCATTCCAATGGCCCTCTTCTGCTGTTAATCTCGGCATTGTAGTGAATGTATGGTGTGAAATGATAAATCTAGGGGCCTAAATACCCGTTTCCAACAGTTTTCACGTGCATTTCATGCAAGGTGAAGTTACAATGGGTACGTTTTGGCGTTATGCTTCCTTATACAAGTACAGAACTGGGCAAAATTTTACAGTATCTAAGGGAAAAAAATAGTCTTTTCTCGTTTGACGACTCTTCCTAAAACAGTCAAAAGTCACGATGATCCAAAAATTAAACCTCAAGTGGTTGGAATGTGTTTTAAAGAGACAAAAATCCAATTTCAGCATTGGGTCCCTTTTCACGGTAAACAACCATTCTTTCACATACAAAACCCAACTTTATCACTCTTTGTGAATGTGCTTGCATTATCACCATAAACAACATCATTTGGACCCAGTTTTAACTGTTTTTTACACGTTTGATTTGAAGTTTTACATGATTGAAAATAGGACAATGGACCCAAACTAAACAAACATGTCGATGTCCTAATTATCAATGAATTCCTCAGTCTGATTTTTTGACTCAATAGAGTTACATGATTGGTTGTTAAAACATATCAAACCAAAGTCTTTTATCCATATAACATTTTAGGATATTCTAATATTCAGAGGTGTAACATTTCTTTTGGCGTTCAGTTTATATATATATATATATATATATAGACAATGTCGACCTTTGGGCGACATTTGTGCGACCATTAGGCGACAGCTGTCGCCCTAAGAATATATTTCTGTCGCCAAAATATCTGCATGTCATTACTATGTTCATTTTCTTTCATAGCTATCCCAAAGTGGATGGTTGGATAGAAGGTCGTCTCAGGACCTTCGGGTGTGCTTCTTTTATATTTTTATAAAACTCTAGTGCTGTTATTGAGAAAACAAAAATATTATGGATATAACGTCTGCGACCTTTCGGCGACACGGGGTTTTCTATAAAACTCTCTAACACCTGGATATATGTTCAGTAATAAACAATGGAGAAATTATTGTCTAGATATATGCTATTAGGTTTTGTACAGTTTTTTAAAATATACACATCGTTAAGTGTTCGCCATAACATCAACGTCGAAATGAGCACTTAAAGTACTGTCGGAAATGCTAGAAAAATGCTTTTTGACTTTTATTTTAAATTCAGAGGTATTACAGTTACTTAAATAACAAATATCACTTCAAGAAACATCTACCTAATGTAGACCGAGGGAATAAATTTTAAGACATGCTCTAAAATGTGATTTTACTGATGAAAATACCAAAAACTTAGAAAAATAAGGGGTAGTGGGACGTTATTTGATACAAACATTAACTGCCTGTGTTACGTCATCAGCATGCACGGTATCGACAGGTGAAATTGACGCCTAAGCACACGCTCGGGCGAGGGGTCATCTCAATATATGTTTTCTGCAAAATGTTGAATATGTGTACGTATAGTATACGTATCGGTTATGTAAGGGATCATTTGTGTATGTGTATTTGTTTTGAAATAAACATACGAATTACGGTACATTGGAAAGAATCCTATCACTTGTGTTATCTTATCGATTGATTGTAGAAATATGCAACGTTTTAATAAATGTTTTGCATGTCAACAGTATATTTCATTGACAAAATTATGGATATAATTCGGTCAGTTTATTCTAGTTGTGAACATTGGCCAAAGATTTAACGAAGTCACTGGTGTAGCTTCTTTAGAATATATATATTTTCTTCTCATAAAGTTTGTAGACCGCCCGTCTAAGCACTCCCATGTCAGAGTTGTCAAGGATGGTTTTACGTCCCGGTTTTGCATTTGAGACGGTCCCTCTCTTGTCTGATTTGTTTACAATATTGTAAACTTGTTGGTAAGACATGCCAACAGCTCTACAGGTTCTGTAATAAACCCTTTCTAATCTAATGAAAGGTTTACCTCTGTCTTTTTTAAGCAGAAAAAAAACTATAAACCTTTGCAACAATCGACTGCAAATCGTTGGACGCTGCGATAAAAATGTGCATGCATGACGGGAAACTTATTTATCAAGACTTAACATTTATATTAATATTTCTTCAATACAGAAACGATAATTAAGTAAAGTAACACAAACATTCAACATTTATTTGTTTAGGAAAAACGTTAATTCATATTTTTACACCACCTGTATTATTAGCATAAATGTAAAGACTATTTCAGATTTCTGTTGTTGAACTCTGAAAAAATCTGAAGTTGCTGTTTTGGTACCAAATTCTCTCCTGTAAACTGCCCTTTAAATGGATGGGAATGTTAAATTGGTTGACATAAAAAATAGGTAGACAATAGACGAGTTGATATATTGACAACATAGTAAATGTATCACCTTTATAAGGATATTAAGGCTAAAAAGCATTTTTCTAGCATTTCCGACAGTACTTTAGCCAATAATTCAATAATGTCTGTAGCTATTGTGGTAGCTGAGAGACAAGACTAATGTGCCACCAAGAACACGTTTAAATACTTAAAACATTTGATACTTCAATCAAAATAACAATGTAATAATCTGTAAATAAATTGAATTCATGTTTCACACGAAGGCCCGTTCACGTTTTGTGTCAAATCGGATCCCGTTTGCTACAGTTTTCGCGCACTACACGAGGCGACTTGGCAGCACAAAGCTATGGGAAAAGCATGGTATGTATCGTAATCGGAGTATTTGGTTGAAAACAGCAGCATGTAGAATTGTATCAAAGGCGATGCCTGTCCCATGACACAATCTTTTCAAGATTTCGCAACTGGAAGAAACTGTTTGCTAGTAACTTGATCGGGATTGTGAGGTCTCGTATCATGTTGTCGCTTGATCCACACCTAGGCTATCGCTTAGTGTCTGAATATAAAAAAAAATTGATATCAACAAACAAACGCATTATACATTGAAAAGGAGCCCCGGGGAAACCAGAACCTGAGGAAATCTAGACTTGCTTCATTTAAGGCTTTAGCGTTGCAGAAAGGTCTAGGCAGTAGGGAAAATAATATTGTGGTTCAGGGACTGTGAGACAGACTAGATCCACACCCCGGAACAGCTCAATCACAGCGCATTATTTTTTCACTCAGTCTGTGGAATTGACCATTTTCTTTTAGGCCAGCGTACATTCTTGTAGATAGGGAACCAAGTAATTTATGAACCACTTGCGATCAGTTCCGGTGCGGCAAAAAAAAAACCTAGAAAAGGCTCTCATTCTGACGCCTGGGTATCAGACTGACTTCGCACCGATATATTTTTCCCAAATATATATCTACCATCTAATAGATAAATAAAAAAACCAAAACAGCCCACAACCATTTGTAATTTCAGGAACTAACCAAATCTGTAAGACTTGGATTCAGTAAAATTACTTATAGGCCAAATGTAGAGATAGTATAACACATTACAACCAGTTTTATCACCCACACTGCATATTTTGACTGCATCAGTGCTGGTCACCCACTATTAGACCATGGGGTTAATACTCATTGACTTGGGTTTGCTCAAATAATGAGCTTATACTGCAGTGTTGAGGAAGACTTGTAGTTATAGTTTCATGATGTCACTCTCCATTGTCGCTCTTTGCTGTTTCCTCTGATAGCTGAACTACACATTTTAATATCAGCTACACATTTCCTAAATGTTCATGCAAAGGAAATATGCATCTGCTCTCTTGACCATAATATGTTTCAGTTACATTATTTATATCAAGAGATTCTAACCTTTAAATATAACGTTTTGAACTCATGCTTTGAACCCTGTCCCTTTGGGTGTTTATGTGCAGTACATCTCCTCCACTGGTCTATCAGATTAAAAATATCAGTGTGTAGTGATGAAAGTTTATTTTGCACCATTTTCATGCTAATAATACTAATTACCTTAATCTGGGTACAAAGATTGTAGCCTACCACCTTATTACCTACAAGCAATGGCTGTCTGAGTCAAACCTTGTTTGTTTTTAGTAACCTGATACATTTTTTGGCTGGTTATGACAAGAATTTGTAATTACCGGATGACACTTTTACTGCTGCTGAGAGATCCTAAAAGATAAAAACTTTTCTTGCATTTGGGCCAGGACTATAATGTTGTCTGTCTACATGCCACTGCAACTCAGCCAGCATAACTGTGACCAATACATCCTCCTACTCACAGGTGACTCAACTGACAACCGTAAATGTTGGTTACGTTGTATTTTCCTGCACATGGTCCAAACTTGATATAGTTCCAATTGCTAGAGATTTTCTACTTCAATTTGACAAACAAATACATGTACTGATGCACTTGAATCTGTTAATTGAATATTGAGCATGAATGCAGTCAGAATTCCCTTTTTGAGCTTTCGTAATTCCATTGCAGATATATCTTTGTATATTTAATGCAGGAACATTTCCTCATTTCAAAGTCTAAATCCTGTACATTGTGTAACATAAGGAAAGAGGGTAAACACCAGTGGACAGTATAAAATTACCTGAAAGTCAAGGATGAATCTCACTAAGACATTAAGACATGTTAAAACTTGTTGGTAAGTCAATAGACCAACTGTTTCTATGCAGGGATATGTTATTAGTCTTTTATGGATTATTAAGTTCCCTTAGCGGTCAAATTGCATAAAAGGGTAATTTTGTTCAAAGCGGGGGTTTCTTAAACAAACTTTTTCTTTTTTTAAAAATGGAGGTGAAGTTTAACATTTCTTTCATTACAAACAGGAAGAATGAAAGCCTCTTCCTGTTGCAAGTTACCTTTACAAAGCCATAACAACAGTTTCAGAAATGCCTCTTTGATGCATCTATTCAGGTAGTGTGCTGTTCATCATTGGCCAATCATCGGCTAATAGTTTGCACTGTCGACTAATATCAACCTCTCTGAACAGCACTGGGCAGACAGTATTGATATAAATCATAGAATCGATGATCGTTATTAGGAATAGTAACTTTGAACAAAAATTTAAAAGAAATCTGAAAATAAATCAACATATTTTGTATTACTGGTGAGTTTTGACATTTATGCATGGATGACTAACACAATCCTGAACATAATTTAGCCCATGAATAAAGACATCACTTTGTATATTGTGTGAGTAAATTGAAACTATGACATTATGGGTATTCTTAAAATTCCATTCAAATTGACTTGATGGCACAAGATTTTTCCCTTGGTCACCCTTCAAATCAAGTTCAAGTTGACAAATGCTGTCAAAAGTCAGGAAAGGTCTAGCCTGTCTCATAGTTCCTGAACTGCATTATTTTTACTTCCGTCTATGCTTTTTCTGCAATAAAGCCCTAATTGAAGCATGTCTAGATTTTCGTGGGTTCAGGAATCTCCCATCTCAGCTCCTTTTCACTTTCAGTTTAAAAGGAATTGTTTGTTTTTATCAAAATTATATATATTCAGAGACTAAGTGCTAGTCTCAGATGGTCCTGTTAGATATCGACTGACTGACTGAATTTGGTTTTACGCCGCTTTTAGCAATATTCCAGCAACATCACGGCGGGGGACACCAGAAATGGGGTTCACAAATTGTACCCATGTGGGGATTCGAACCTGGGTCTTCGGCGTGACGAGCCAACGCTTTAACCACTGGGCTACCCCACCGCCCCGTTAGACATGGAAATCATATCAAATCCAGTTTATGCCTGGTAAGTCAATTTTATTTTACAAAAGTTTTTGAATATAAAACATTGTAAATTCATAATTTATGTATGTTGTTAGGATGATAACCTAATCTAGTAGTATTTTAAATACTTTATCAGTTCAGAAGAAAAAATATAGTTTCTTAAGCTCAGTTTTGAATTTAAGTTCACAATCATTTTGAGAATAATATTGTTAACATTTTAATGTTACATAATGCAGACAATTATGAACGGGATAAAGAGAAGTTGAGCTTGGCAGAGGAGAAAAGTGATCTTCAAAGACTCTGAGGCATTCCAAAGGGAGGAAGGGGCAGGTTATGTGATCAAGAGATCAATACCTTCAAGTTAGTAGGTTTAAATTGTGAATACTATTTTTCCAACTTTGTTAAATATATTTCTACCTTAAATAGGGATGCCACGATACATAAGTTTCATGAATCGATACGTATCACGATACACATGTTACCTATTTTCACTGCATTATTGCATAAATGTAGTTACATTTTGAACATTGATATTTAATTTTTTATAATTGTCCATGAAAAGATCAACAGTTTTTTATCCTCAGAGATTAAAATGTTCTAATTTCCCATCTTTGTGCATGAAAAATAATCATAACTCTCACAACATCAAAAAACATGATACTTGCAAAATGTAAACGATACATATTAAAACATATTTAAACCGATACTTTCAAAACTAAATATCGATAGTTTGGAATGTATCGATAATTGTACAGTCTCAGAAAACGTATCGATGTATCATGGCACCCCTAACCGTAACAATGTTCTTGCTTACTTTAGAATTCAGCATCAGAAACTTGCAATACCCCATGAAGTAATGCCTCATGAATCTTTGCAAATTGTTTAAGCCTTCTCAATATTAGTACAGTTATCTCGAATGGTTGTGTGCCGATCAGTACTGTGTGCAGCAATACATGTTTTAGGTATTATCTCAATACATGATCATTTATTATTGATAAATGTAACAAGAAATTCAAAATGGTCAATAAGAGATTAATTGATAGACATGGAATAGCGTTATATACAGATAGTCTGTCTTTGATGACATATATGAAAAATTTAAAGAAAAACTATTTTCTCTCATAACAAGCAGTTCCATATTGTGGTTCTGATCATGTAAAACGTTACAGAAAATGTAGAATTTTTTAAAAAATGGCAGAATTTGCTCATTTCATATATCAGTAGGGTAATTTTCAACATTTTCAACCTTTTCTATTGACTTTTGCACTTGATTGATGTCCAAACATTTGCAATTCAAAAATTAATCCGTGCAATAATCATGTCTTTTATAGAGATATCATTTTCACTTTTAGGTTACTATCTACTCATATCTTACCACAGTTTCATAGAGAGCTGATGCGTGTCCTATTTTGTAGTGCACACAATTCCGACCAGACTCATGAAGAGAAAATATTGGCTTCTCTCAATACAGAGTATACAAATTAACATATAGCCTACATTTTGTTGTTTTTCTGTAGTCAATTATTCAATCTTCCATCGGATAATCAGGTGTATAAAAGTTCTGACACCATTCTGTTCATATCACAGGGGGTGGCTGGGTGGGTTCTCAATTAAATTTGTTTTACATAATTGTATCAGGTGTTTAAATGGATTCAGATGCAGTATCTGTGAGAAGGTACTAAAATGTAAAGGTGGAGATACTGTTCATCAGCAGATGCACTTGAAGTCAAAAGGTACCACCAGTTTTTAGTAGTTTCTTTCTACATATCAAGATGTGTGATCACCCATAACATATCATGTCATGATACAAAGGCAAGAATGTGTTTAGCTCCACCACTTTATCATATTACTGGCAGGTCATTAATAAAACAATCAAGCTTTCGCTACTAAATTCCATTGTATACACCTAGGTGGAAATAACTTTAAAATTGCTAGTGTACTCCGGTACAGTGGCACATGTAAAATCACTTGCCCTGATAAGTTTTCCACTATACCGTTTTTGTTGTTGATTTTTTAAATAAACAACATAATTAATATAGAATCCAGAATATCAACTGGACACCGGTACAGTGTCATATACACATTTGCTTGCCCGACAGACATAAACACTGGACTCGGGCGTCGGGCAATGGGTTATTTCCACCCCTGCTAGGATGTGTTGTCTAAAGCTCTGAGTTTATGATAAATAGGATGTATTGTGTTGACCACCGGGCACATCCTATCTGCTATAATCACAGCCCATTACCACATCCCATCTGTTATTTTTACAGATAGATGGGCAACACATCCTATCTGTTATTTTTACAGACCACTGGGCAACACATCATATATATTAACAGCAGACCTTATCAGTAGACCTTTGGGAAACACATCATATCTATTATCAGTAGACCTTTGGTCAAACACATCATATAATCAGTACACCTGTGGGCAACCCATCATATGTATTATCAGTAGACCTTTGGGCAATGCATCATAAAATCAGTAGACCTTTGTGCAACACATCTTATATATTACCAGTAGACTTTTGAGCAACACATCATATATGTTATCAGTACAACTTTGGGCAACACATCTCATATATTACCAGTAGACCTTTGAGGAACACATCAAATAATCAGTAGACATTTGGGCAACACATCTTATATATTACTACTAGACCTGTGGGCAACACACCCTATATATTACCAGTAGACATTTGGGCAACACATCATACAATCAGTAGACCTGTGGGCAACACATCTTATATATTACCAGTAGACCTTTGGGCAACACATCATACAATCAGTAGACCTGTGGGCAACACATCTTATATATTACCAGTAGACCTGTGGGCAACACATCATACAATCAGTAGACCTGTGGGCAACACAGCATATATATTACCAGTAGACCTGTGGGCAACACATTATACAATCTGTAGACCTGTAGGCAACACATCTTATATATTACCAGTTGACTTTTGGGCAACACATCATACAATCAGTAGACCTGTGGGCAACACATCTTATATATTACCAGTAGACCTTTGGGCAACACATCATACAATCAGTAGACCTGTGGGCAACACAGCATATATATTACCAGTAGACCTGTGGGCAACACATCATATGTATTTTCAGTACACCTTTGGGCAACACATATACATGGTCAGTGGACCTTTGGGCAACACATCATATATAGTGTATATACCAAGCTCTCTGTAGTTCACCTGTCTACAGTCAAATATAATCAAGCTTTGTATCCCTAAAGAGGATATTTAACTAATCAGTTTGTAATCTAGTTATATCATATGGATAAGTGGAGTTTGGTCTTCACACTGTGCACTCAGCTGTAGTATTTAATCATACATACTAAAGGGTTAAGATTTCTTCCTTGCAGTCTGTATTGACTGATGTCAGTTACGATTCAACATTGATATGTCATCGGTTCCCAGTTGCCCTGATCATGCTCATGCTGATTATCACTGGATTGTCTAGTCCAGACTCTGTTAGTTATAGACCGCCACCATAAAGCTGGAATATTGCAGAGTGCGGCGTAAACTCACTCCCTCACTCACTCACTCACTCACTCACTATGTTTCAACACTTCAAATGATATATGTCACCTAGATAGATAGAAATTAGAAAACAATAGATCATGTTTTTATTCTACAATGTCAGTACATACTGTATGTTTCCAGATTTGTAGGTTTCATTGAGTAGTCAGTGCCAAAATTGTTTACATTTCAAACATCAAGCTAAACTTGTGTGTTCCAAATGTAATTTCTGTTTATCAAATACTCAACAAAACTCTCAAATCTGAAAACATTACCATGTCTTTTTTTTCTAACTAGATAACTAACCCATAGCCTTTAGCACTGCTACAACTTGGCTGACATACTGCCGACATATGTCATCAACTGGTTCAAATTGCATCATGCATGACATGTAGGAGATTTGGAGAAAAATCACTGAGCCAATTGTTTGCAGAATATTATGAATTTTGGTTTAGAACTTAGCGAATCAGATCTGTTCTTTTTTTTTTTGCTTATTTTTTTTTTTCAAAAAAACCTAATGCTGTCAATTTTGATAATCAAAATGTTGTTTTAATCAAAATTTCTCTTTTGTTCAATTACTTTCTTGTTGCTTTGATTATTTTATCATTGCTGTAATAATTTTTCTGAGTATATACCAAAACATGTGCATGTTACTGCATATTAATTACGTCAATGTTTTGTTTCATCATCACTTCACTTGTTTGATAAACACTACGCAATAAAGTTAACCAGTATCTATCTGTACATCCTTCTCCTACCTTTCCCTTTCTCAGTGGTATTCAGTCTCTATCTGCTTAATGAAGCGCTTACTAGTACTAGTGTTGACGGGCAGTGGGTAGCCTAGTGGTTAAAGCGTTCGCCGGACGCCTGTGTTCGATTCCCAAAATGGGTTCAATGTGTGAAGCCCATTTCTGGTGTCCGCTACCCTGATATTGCTGGAATATAGCTGAAATCAGCGTAAAACTTAACTCAATCACTACTAGTGTTGACCCTCATTTCTCTCACAGACAGTGGCAGTCACTCCCATTCGATTTTCAGCCATGTTACAAGATTTAAAGTTTCCTCAATACTCAAGGCTCCATCTTATATATAGAACTATTTCTATTCTACCTTATAGCAAACTTAATTTCGGGACTATATGTTGTTATATTGAATATTGCAGTGATTAGAAACTAACAAATACTACTCACACTTTGCTTAGGATCACAAAAATTCCCAATTTACTTAACATATTTGTATTTTGAAATTGTATCCATTTATAACTGGATAAATAATAATATAGTAACCCTTCTTTTGGCAAACAGCTAGTTTAATCTAACCTATGCACTTGATACATGAGTAACCATAAAAAATGGTTTTAATGGCACCAATCAACCATTTTGCAAATCATGGAATGAGTCATTTACAAGTATACAACACCTGTCAATATGAAATCCACAAGATTAAATGACATACTGAAACCTAGGATCCATACTTACAATAAGCTTAGATATTTAAACCAAATTAGATCCCACATCATAGTTTTCTGTTGAATCAATGATTTGATCCTTAGCAAAGTGTGAATAGGCCACAAGTCCTCATAACGGTGTCGGAGCCCCAGTTTATTCAGGAGTCGTCTGGTATGCCTCAGTGCATGACAAGATAACGGGAATAATCCCGACTGGGGCAATGATGGTTTCTCGACATCAACGAGTACATGCCAAATCGTTGGGTTGTCGTCAATTGCTCCTAGAGGTCGGGCGATGGTGTCGCCATGCACAGATTTCCCCACAGGATTTCCCACAGGACCCCGCAGTTCGTGCAAAATGTAGATACTAGTCAATGTATGTCTTTATATTTGGTCTTATAATCCTAATTACATGTATTTCACATTGGTGTATAGCCTCTGGCAACTTATTGCATAATGTCCACCTTTCTTTGTAAAAAGTAATTTAGTTAGGCAATAATGAGTAATCAATCAATGTATTGGCGGTTAATCCTTTGAAAGAAGGACGTTGTTATTTCGCAGACACAGACACGACAGAGTGTATTCAGTATAGATTAGTAAATCTACATACATAAACACTACCTTTTGACAAATCCGCTGTGCAAGATAAAAGTAATTAATC